TAAACGTTAAACATCAAATAAATCAATCTCAATATAACGTAACGAACATCAAGAATCTCTTATGGAATACGATATATATTCTTTGGTTTATGGAGAAATAGTTCATCATTATATTTGTTTCATAATCTCATACATCTACGCCATATCTAAATTCTTTAAATGATATTTACACATTTTGTGTCGTGCTATAGGTGGAGTCCATAAAATGATTTTTTTTCCTGCATGAGGAGTATACTTTTACATTTCTGTCGTAACAGTCGTATATGAACTAATATACGTTTTGTCTTTCAACCCCCAATGAATCGACTGCCGGTGTAGATAAAGATTGTACTGCCTGATCCTCTCACGTCAGGAAGTAATCCCTCGCTGAAGTGGTCGTCAGTTCGGATGTGCTGGATGTATACATACGCAGTCATGTCCGCTTAATATGGAAAACGATGCCCCGTCACACAGTGCATACGAATTTCACACTCTCTGAACAGTTAAGATTCTGTGTTATTATATAATTATGGGTCTGTCGGTGGCAGAATGCAAGGCAAAATATTTGCCCTATCCAATATGTCATCTTTTAAAGAAATGCATTTATACTTGCCAACATACCTTGCAAAATTGACATTTTTCCCGTATGCATGAAATTTTGCCATTGTACAATTTCCTGCCAAGTAATATAACAAAATATGTTGATGCAATTTACGGGATTATTTGTTAATATCTTTGTTTGTAATTTGTTGACGTTCCCATCAATGTGTTTTTTATACATAGAAGTACAATGATCGACGATGTTAGGGACTGTCTTAAAATTGTAATGAAATTGTCGAAAATATTTTTGACAAAGACAAATAAAATTGAGAATGGAAATGGGGAATATGTCAAAGAGACAACAACCCGACCAAAGAGCAGACAACAGCCGAAGGCTACCAATGGGTCTTCAACGCAGCGAGAAAATCCCGCACCCGGAGGTGGTCCTCAGCTGGCCCCTAAATAAAATTGTGTGCTAGTTCAGTGAAAATGGACGCCACACTAAACTCCAAAACATATAAATGAACTAAAATTAAAAACCTACAAGACTAACAAAGGCCAGAGGCTCCTGACTTGGGACAGGCGCAAAAATGCGGCGGGGTTAAACATGTTTTGTGAGATCTCAACCCTCCCCGTATACCTCTAGTCAATGTAGAAAAAAGAAACACATAGCAATACGCACAGTAAAACTCAGTTTAAAAGAAGTCCGAGTCCGATGTCAGAATAGGTAACAAAAGAAACTAAGCAAAATGACAATGATACATAAATAAACAAAGGACTACTAGCAGTTATATAACCATATTTTTATGTATAGGAACAGTGAAAAGGATAAATCGAGAGGAACATCATGTTGAATAACCGAAACATACAGCAATAGCGAAATGAATATTAGTTCGAGCTGTTATATAACAACTATATAATTACAAAGAGAGGGAAATTAGGGGCTGCCATGGTAAATTATCAAGTTGCTTCATTTTGATTGGGGGCTGGTCATTTGTAACTGAAGAGTGAATAATAATAATAATAGTTAGTATTGAGAACTTGATGAGGAGGGGTGAATTTTTATGTCTTTGAAAGTGGGGACTTGAATTTATTTTCTTTCATCAAGGTGGGAACTTGAAAAAATAGAGAAATTCCAATGTTTCCTTCCATCCACTTGAATGCTTGAAAATAAGAATCTCGTTAATAAAAAAAAACAGATTTAGCATTTAAAAAAATAGGATTTTCATGCCTACAACATTCTTAATTTGAAAATAAAATTTTATAGGTATAAACAAAAACAATCACATTATGGCAAAGTGAATGATCATACTTTTCAATTAAAACTAGAATTATAGAAATGTGTTTAATCAGAAAGAACCTAACAGGTATTGAGTACGGGGTTGCAGCATACATTTTGTACCTTTTAAAAAACGCGAACCTGATAGAGCGCATGGCAACTGGTGTATTTACATTGAAACTATGGATTCATACCATTACATTCATGTATTCAATTATTGTTTTCTTAATTTCTAAACTGTTATTTGTTTTAAATAATCGTAACGTATTTACAAAAAAATCTATTCAATAAAGGGCACCGTCAACCGCGGAAATAGTGTATAACCACAGGACTATGTACAATAGATAGGGAATGATGCAATTTTAGCTTAGCATAAATATTTATTGTTAACTTCATAAACTCCGTGTAAAACGTGAGTGATAGTATGACATAGATTTGAGACTAGTAAATAAGCGTTTCTAATTTTCTTGTGTGAGAATATTTTGTACAAATTGTAGTACAGAGTTATGTGCATGCACGACGTATCCCTTCATGAGTTATTAAAACTGAAAGCACATACATGAATCCCTGGCTATATAGTGCTCAATCACTTATAAGTTTTTATGGTCAACTATTTGGACTTTTGGAAGCAAGGACAAGCTAGCTAGGTGCTCGATCGTTTAATTTAAATGAAAATAAACTCAAATGTAGAAATGGTTTTACGATTATTTCAGGAATTAAACAAATTCAGTTATTTATGTTTGGGAAAAATAATATGAATACATGTATTCTGATTAACTAATGGAACTTAACTTTCATGGTGTTGATTTTAACCAAATGCCAACAGGTTAAATCGCTACGATTTGACTTACGACTGCCTGTTAACACTCGTAAGTTTACGATCAAACTTACGATTTTTTATGAAACGGTCAAAAACTTACAATTTGACCTACGACCGACTTAAGATCTAAGATTGTCGTACGATTTTTTGTGAAACGATGGCCAGATCATTTTTGTGATTTAAAGTGTCTATTTATCTATTATAATTTTTATCATGTAAGGCAAAACCCCAAAAAATGGTAAAAACCCACATTAAAGGGCAATAATTCCGAGGAGACGTCGGACGATTTCCTCTATATTGTCTTACTTGTAGATCTTGTCTTGCTGATCATTTTTCCTTATTTAAGTTTCTATCTATCTATTAAAATTTTTAAAATATAAGGCAAATGCAAAACATAGGTAAAAATCATCATCAAAGGGCAATAACTCTAATCAGGAGTCAGCTGACGATTTCGACCATGCAGACTTATTTGTAGAACTTGTCTTGCTGATCATTTTTGCTATTCAATGTTTCTCTATATCTATTATATTTTTCAAGAAAATAGGCAATAAACAGCTGCGCCATGAGCGCATGATACGCCCGTCGCATTTTCAAAGAATAAAGTTCAATAACTTCTCAATGTCATATCAAAAACTAAAGGGAGGTTATCTCAATAGATATAAACCAGTCACCAAAGTTTCATAAAAAGAGCTCAAAGCAATTTAAAGATATTGTCCGAAAACTGGAAAATCACACCTTTTTTATGAATAAAATCCCATAACTTGGAAACGTAAAATCTAAATTTATTAAAATCAAAAGAGAGCTTACATCAATAGATATAAACAATTCACCAAAGTTTCATGAAAACTGCTGAAAGCATTTTTGAGTTATTGTCCGAAAACTGGAAAATCCCCCTTTTATAATGAATAAAACCCCATAACTCAGAAACATAAAATCTAAATTTATTAAAATCAAAAGAGAGCTTACATCAATAGATATAAACAATTCACCACAGTTTCATGAAAACTGCTCAAAGCATTTTTGAGTTATTGTCCGAAAACTGGAAAATCCCCCTTTTTTTAATGAATAAAACCCCATTACTCAGAAACGTAAAATCTAAAATTGATAAAAATCGAAAGAGAGCTGACGTCAATAGATATAAACAATTCACCAAAGTTTCATGAAAACTTCTGAAAGCATTTTTGAGTTATTGTCCGAAAACTGGAAAATCCCCCTTTTTTTAATGAATAAAACCCCATAACTCGGAAATGTAAGATCTAAAATTTATAAAAATTGAAAGGGAGCTCATGTCAATAGATATAAACAATTCACCAAATTTTTTTGCAAATTGGTGAAAGTTTTATTGAGTTATTGTCCCAAAACTGGAAAATCCCCCTTTTTAATGAATAAAACCACATAACTCGAAAACGTAAAATCTAAAATTTATAAAAAACGAAAGGGAGCTCATGTCAATAGATATAAACAATTCACCAAAGTTTCATGAAAATTGGTTAAAGCATTTTTGTGTTATTGTACGACATGTTGACAACGGATGGACGGTCGGACGGAAGAACAGACGGACGGACAACGGTATACCATAATACGTCCTGTAAACGGACGTATAAAAATGAAAAAAAATAGTAAAAGTTGTCATTTAAGGGCAATAACTCCTATAAGAAGTCGTCTGACAATTTTGACTTATATGGACAATTGGTAGAGCTCTAAATTCTGAACATTTCTGCTAAGTTTGGTTTCAGAGGAGAAGATTTTTGTAAAAGTTAACGGACGACGATGGACGACAGACGCCAAGTGATGAGAAAAGCTCACTTGGCCCAATGGACCAGGTGAGCTAAAAAGTATTACGATGACGACGACAGACGCCAAGTGATGAGAAAAGCTCACTTGGCCCATTTGGCCAGGTGAGCTAAAAAGTATTATTTTCAATAACATACAGGAACAGGAATATTTTTTTTAACTCAATGCCATATCTATTTTTTCTTTAATTGTCTATGGAAACCAACAATTTAATTAAAAAGACACATGCACTTCACTAAAGATGAATGATATCATAAAAGATATCATAAATAAAAACGCTTTTATATTAGTTTATAAGACTTAATAAATATAACATATCATGACATGTATGTATATGTATCTTGTTTCAATTACCAATTAAAGAATAGAAAAAGGCACAAAATTATAAACAGTTCTTATAGAGAAAATGGCATACAAATGAAAGAATCTGAACACAGAAATGAAGGACCCCTCCCCCTCCCCCTTCTCCCACTACCCGTGATCATATTCACAAACCTAAACAACTCCAAAAAAATTTCCATAGTGCCTCCAAGTAATATTGGTTCTGGATCCGCCCCTGATAACATGATATATTAATGGATATTTTACCTTTTGGTGGAGCAATATATTGGTCTGGATTTGGATGAGCTGTTGGTTTGATCTGTGCTGGCACTGAAGGCGATACAGTGGTAACACCTGGTGGTAAAGTTGGTTCTGGAGTTGTAATGACTACTGATGGATTACAACCTAAAAGATTAAATCTTAAAGCTGGAGCTCCAGTGTATTCTCCAGGATAGATCTTGACATATTGAGCCACAATATTACGATTGAAGAGGTATGTTTCTGGCTGTGTATTGTTCTTGTTTCCTTGGAAGATATTTGGTGTAGTGCTATTCTCCTTGTTGCTGTATGGTTTGAATGTCTTTCCATCTGTACTGGTGAAGACTGTGAATGTCTTTACCCATTGTGGAAGCTGTCCATGGCCCTGAATCATCACACCTGTAACTGTCTTGGGTTCCAAGAAGTTCACTTCAATGTATGGGTTCTTGTCTTGAGGTCTTAATAAAGTAAAGAGTAGTGTTTTTTTTAAATAATGTAAGGCATATATAGTAAACAGATGAAAATCTTTTAAATAAATTCAATAAAAGCTTTTCATTTTCAAACAACTAAACTGATCAATCTGAACATTATTTTCTAACATACTGATAACTTTGTACACATTGTACATGTATCTGACGTTATAAACATCAAGCACATGTATAAAAATGCTAATTATAACAGGATGCACATTGCAATAATGAAAACTTACATTTAAATACAGGAATTAATATTCTATTTCAGTATCCTATTACATGTTCAGACATCATATTACTGTGAATTTGCAATTTGTTTCATCAAATCAAAGTGTCCAACTGGTCAGAATGTTAACCAACTGAGGAACCAAGTGCAAAGTGATAAAATAAATAAAGTTTACTACAAGTCATTAAGATGTTCATTCGATCCACTTCATGGCTACTATGAACTGGTGCTTAAAATGTCTAAGGAAATTTGATTTATCAAATTATAGTTTATACACGACACAATGTATCTTCTATCTAAGAGTTAAGTAGTCAGTCAATCTATTTTTAGGTACATTTATTTTTAGATTCTACATGTATTAGCGATTACTCCTAGAGGGGGTATGTGTTTTGATGACCTCATAATAAAAGTAACAAGCTGACCTAACATACGTTTTTTAATCAGCTATTATTTCACTGAAATCGAACTATCTACACATATTATTAATCTACAACATTTCATATGGATTTCTTTAACCTTTCAATGTTAATGGACATTTATTCTTTGATTGTGAAGACTGTGTTTATAAATTTGTTCAGCTCTTTATTATCAATGTGACAATTGTGCATCCTAAACGAACTCCGTATGAACCGGAAATAGGAGAATTGGGCTTTCACAAGACTCCGCTCTAAGTCTGAGCCAAGTAGAAATAACATTCGTTTCCCATTAACGCCCTTAGATCCTCGTAGGATGGCACTAGTTCGTATTGTTAGAATTCCAGGGCCGATATCTTTGAGATCGGCCATGACAGCATGTACAATAGACAAGACACGCCCACTGATTTGAATACGAGTGCGCAATCCCAAGATGCATCAACATATCCATACAAATATAAACAATGAGGATTGGACTGCTGTTCTCGTTGACTTGGTGTTAAAGCTATCGTCGAATATCTACAACCTTCAACAGAACGTGATTTCTTTGAACAATAAGTTACTGACAATCTTAATATTTTTTATAATAGTAACAACTTTTTAATCGTAGCAATAATCTTTCCTACTTCTACGACACCGTTGGTAAGTGTACGCAAGTCCTTCCAAACACAATCAACACTAGTCCAGTTGTCCCGACGATTCCTAATTCAACAGCACCCTGGGCAACTATTAAGTTCATCCACAATTACACAATTGGAGTTTACCATACTACTGCAGCAGGGAGTGAAGAACAAGCAAGGAGATTCGAGGACAAAAACAGGATATACATATATACGTCTGCACTACTTAAGGATATGCAACTGAATATCTTCTATTGGTGGAAACTTTGCCTTTACAATTAAAGGAATCATACTCCCCCAATTCAATAATACATCAGATAGATTAATTACTGTCAACATCTCTACAGGACATTTATGTATTTTAATATATTTTTTTACTCCTCTGGGATCTCCCCGGAGTCTCGTAGGCCTGCTGGGATCTCCCCAGGTCATTTTTTCTCTTTATTCTACATTGATCTACATTTTCCGGGATGTAATAATTTTTCCTACTTCTAAGACACCGTTGGTAAGTGTCCGCAAGTCCTTCCAAACACAATCAACACTAGTCTAGTTGTCCCGACGATTCCTAATTCAACAGCACCTTGGGCAACTCTTAAGTTCATCCACAATTACACAATTGGAGTTTACCATACTACTGCAGCAGGGAGTGAAGAACAAGCAAGGAGATTCGAGGACAAAAACAGGATATACATATATACGTCTGCACTACTTAAGGATATGCAACTGAATATCTTCTATTGGTGGAAACTTTGCCTTTACAATTAAAGGAATCATACTCCCCCAATTCAATAATACATCAGATAGATTAATTACTGTCAACATCTCTACAGGACATTTATGTATTTTAATATATTTTTTTTACTCCTCTGGGATCTCCCCGGAGTCTCGTAGGCCTGCTGGGATCTCCCCAGGTCATTTTTTCTCTTTATTCTATATTGCTCTACATCTTCCGGGATCTCCCCTGGTGAACATTTCATACAGTTTAAGTAATAATTATTTTTACTCTGCTGTGATCTCCCCGGAGACTAGTAGGCCTGCTGGGATCTCCCCAGGTCGTTTTATTCTCTTTATTCTATATTGCTCTACACCTGCCAGGATCTCCCCAAGTGAACATTTCATACAGTATAAGTAATTATTATGTATTTAAAGGTATTTTATTTTACTCTGCTGGGATCTCCCCAGTGTCTTGTACGCCTGCTGGGGTCTCCCCAGGTCGTTTATTCTCTTTATTCTATATTGCTCTATACCTGCTGGTATCTCCCCAGGTGAACATTGCATAAGTATAAGTATAATTATAATTATGTATTCTAATGTTTATCTTTACTCCGCTGGGATCTCCCAAGGTCGTTTATTCTCTTCATTCTATATTGCTCTGCACTTGCTGGGATCTCCCCAGGTGAACATTTCATACAGTATAAGTAATAATTATGTATTTTTATGTATTATTTTTACCACGCTTGGATCTCCCCGGAGACTCTTAGGCCTGCTTGGACCTCCCAAGGTCATTTATTCTCTTTAATCTATATTGCTCTACACCTGCCGGGATCTCCCCAGGTGAACTTTTCATACAGTATAGGTAGTAATTATGTATTTTAATGTATCAGATAGATTATTTACTGTCAACATCTCTACAGGACATTTATGTATTTTAATATATTTTTTTTACTCCTCTGGGATCTCCCCGGAGTCTCGTAGGCCTGCTAAGATCTCCCCAGGTCGTTTATTCTCTTTATTCTATAGCTTTACACCTGCTGGGATCTCCCCAGGTGAACATTTCATACAGTATAAGTTAGGAATCTCCCCAGAAACATTTATGTATTTTAATGTATTATTTTTACTCTACTGGGATCTCCCCGGAGTATCGTAGGCCTGCTGGGACTTCCCAGATCGTTTTTTCTTTTTTATTTCCAGTAGAAATACAGATACAGATACAGGTACAAATACAGATATTAATAACAATATTGCTGATTCTCTTTATTGTTATCAGATGCAGAATTCAGAATACTAGCATCGGATTTCAAAGGAAAGCAGTACCTCAATACCTGCCATCACAATAATGATGTGTTAGAACGACAGGCACGCAACTCATGGGACTTATCGTTAAGCCTAAGAATGCGACAAACTTATAATCAACTTTATGTACAACAGTCTTTTTATCATTTCTGAATATAAGTGGCATACAGAGTTCCATGAACTGTCTTCCTACTATTACAGAGAACCATTTGATTTACTTTACAACACACTGTAAGAACCGAAAAGAGAAATTGCAGCATTAAAATAATAAATTGTATGTAGCTGGGATTTGATATTATTTGCTTGTCATAACTACCCTACAACAGGGATGTTGATACCAGTGTAGTACCTTTACTTTTGTGTAAAACTAGGAACACCAAAGACTGATCCTTTTAGAACAGGAGTGAATATAACAATTAATGAGAACAGTTTTGAACCAGTTGTGACAATAAACAAGTACTAAAAGTACCTTTTAGAATGGGAGCCGTATACTTTCTCCTCTATTCTTTGAAGTGACTTTGATGCAAGGCTTTTATTAATTATTTTGGACAACTTTAAATACGCCTTGGTTATAGCGTTAGCAGTTTTGTGGTCATTCTTGAGAGATGGTCCTCAGTATTTTGTATAAGATACATCAGGACTGATAAGAAGGTTATTTGTAAAGATCATGAAAATGTATCTTTGAGTTTTTGTTATAGTTTTCATATAACCAATTTATATTTTTATAAGGCATTATTTCTTGGGGGCTTTAACTGATTCATTATTATAAATTCATTCAATTTGGCCTTTATAATTCAAGGGGAATTATACTCCCCCAATTCAATAATACATCAGATAGGTTAATTCCTGCCGGGATCTCCCCAGGAACAATTATGTTTTTTAATATTTAAGGTAATTCCTGCCGGGATCTCCCCAGGAACAATTAGATATTTTTATTTATTAAGTTAATTCCTGCCGGGATCTTCCCCAGGAACAATTAGGTACTTTAAGGTATTAATTCAATTCCTGCCGGGATCTCCCCAGGTTGGAAATTTTCTTTAGTCAAGTAGCTCACACCTGCCGGGATCTCCCCAGGTGACATTTCATACAGTTTTAAGTTTAATGCAAGGATCTCCCCAGCATTGTTATGTATTTATGTTAAACTTTTTGTACAAGTATTCACATAATTTTACCAGTAGGCATTTTCAATTTACACGTATTTTTATTAGGTTTAAAAAATTTAAAGGTTAAATTTTTCAATGAATGAGTAGCCCCAAGAAAGCCAATTATGAAACATTTTTAGTTATAGAAATGTATATTGTTATGTAATGGTATCTAATTTGGATAATGATGTTTATATTTAGTATGTTATATAATAAAAGTTTTCTTAAAAATGTGTTATTGTAAAGAGTCATTTGAAAGGTGAAACATAGTAATTTTGAATAGCTATAAAAATGTCCAAAACTAAGTATTCATACTATTTTTCTTCTATATTTATAAGAATCAGACATCAGTTTGAATTAAAACTCATATTCAGTAAAATATGTGTGAAGTTACAAGATGTTGTTAACAAGTTTCCAGAGGGGAGATAATCTAATATCTATTCTTCATATTTATTGGATACACTGTCTCATCTCATGGAAACATATTTAAGCTTAAAGTTTATTTCTTAGAGTACTTTAGAAGTTAGATTAAGTACAGCTTTGTAGCATGCATAGAACAAGAATGTGTCCATAGTAAACGGATGCCCAACTCACAATATCATTTTCTATGTTCAGTGGACCGTGAAATTGGGATCAAAACTCTAATTTGGCATTAAAATTAGAAAGATCATATCATAGGGAACATGTGTACTAAGTTTTAAGTTGATTGGACTTCAACTTCATCAAAAACTACCTTGACCAAAAATTTTAACCTGAAAAACTTTAACCTGAAGCGGGACAGGCGGACGGACGAACGGACAGACGAACGAACGGACGAACCGACGCACAGACCGAAAAACATAATCGGGCATAAAAATGGGGCATAAAAACAACAAATAGAAGAGATAATTCAAAACTTAAATTGGACATTTTTTTTAGCAATTCAAAAATTACTACCTCTCACCTTTCAAATGACTCTTTTACCTCACCTCTTAAATAAACCATTACATCAAACATATATTTCAAAATTTTAGGAAAAACTAATCATTACAGCCATGAAGAGAAAACAAAATTTGAATAGGATACTTTATTTTATCACATTGCACTTTGATGACTGGTTTTCTACAGCAGTTGGTTAAGATTTCTGATAAGTTGATCTATAGATTGATTTGAATTGATTACCGGTAAACAACTTGCAAAAGTTTGGCCACCCCTTATGGAGCTATATATGGTAAATACATAAACTTTTTACATGTCCACATCTGTATAGATGTAGTATCATAATTATTTCACAAAAATAAAATCATTTCTTTGAAAGTACCAACCATTTCTACATATTAGTTCATATTTAATTATAAGTTTTTTTAGGAATTTAATGTGATTTCAGGTCTTTTATTTTTGTGTCTGTTTAATTCATTTCTAACTGGTTTAGACTTTAGGCAATTAAATGTGCTGAGTTCTTAAAACATTAATATATATAAGGCTATACAAGAAAAAACTTTCAAGGCAGGTCTAACTTACGAAGGAATCCAAGCAGTAGGCTTTTTCTCTCCTTCATTAAGACGGCCATAGTTGGCTCCTGTGTGGCTGTCTTTAGATGAAGATGCAGTCAGCTGAGGTTTACCTACTATCAAGAAGTTCTCTATCCCCATCTTAATAGCACACACTGAAACAAATAAAGAAGCAGTATTTAAAGTTAGAAGCTAACCAGACATTCACAACTTTACATTACATCAGTTAAAGCATATAGAAGGGTATTAACATCCTTTCTGACCATTTTCATAGAAAATTGACCAGCACTTTTAATGTGTATTTAATGAAAATATTAAAAAATTTAATTTACTGATGTCTGTAAATTTAGTTCAATTGAGACTGTAGCTAAATATTCAGATTTAATCCAGACTAAGGAAAAACTAGACCAATATCAGGTATGGACCTGTGTTGCTGCATGCAATTGATGCAAGGCAGATGTAAAAATGCTTACATGTTACAACTAAACATTATCAAGCTGCAGACCAAATATAAATCATTCCCTTCTATAGATGAAGCCAAAAAGATTTTGAACAAAACTTTTCTACCCAAGGTCTTTTGGACTGATGGACAGAGTTGAGTGGTTACTAAACCTGCTTTGGTGTTGGCAATGCAGATAAATATGGCATGTGCAGGGAATTTTCATGTTTTTTGTACTTGTGTTGTTGGTACATAATATTTTGACTTAAATATGATTGGATATAGTCTCATGAACATACATTTACTTCATATTCTTTTTTCAATGTAAGTTCTGACATACAGTAAGATATCTGCAAATATTGCAGGAAATATTGATATACATCACTAAAATGTTTATGATGTCTTTACACTAAATCCATTGGATGTTGGATGTGTACGGATTGATAATTTAGTCTTAGATGCATGATTTGTTCTATTAGTTGTTAGTGGCTTTGAACTAGCTGTCAGTAACTGCGAGTACTCTCAGATCTGTACTTAGTGTCCTTTTGTTGTTTGGGTGTACAAGTACCCGACCACGTCCACTTGTGTTTGTAGTATTTGTATTTTTATCCATCTGATTAGTTAAGCCTCTTTCAACTGATTTTTATTAGTTCGTTCTTATGTTGTACTGTTACACCACTGTCCCAGGTTAGGGGGAGGGTTGGGATCCCGCTAACATGTTTAAACCCGCCACATTCTGTATGTATGTGCCTGTCCCAAGTCAGGAGCCTGTAATTCAGTAGTTGTTGTTTGTTTATGTGTTACATATTTGTTTTTGGTTCATTTTTTGTACATAAATTAGGCCGTTATTTTTCTCGTTTGAATTGTTTTACATTGTCATTTCGGGGCCTTTTATAGCTGACTGTGCGGTATGGGCTTTGCTCATTGTTGAAGGCCGTACGGTGACCTATAGTTGTTAATTTCTGTGTCATTTGGTCTCTTGTGGAGATTTGTCTCACTGGCAATCATACCACATCTTCTTTTTTATATATATGAATTTTCTCAAATCACTTTAAAAAAATTTCAAGAAGTCATTGAAATCATTATGAAATAATTTACCCTGAAGGCTCAGATATTCTAAATCTACATAGGTGGTTAACTTTTGTTATCATCACAAACTCACATGGTTCTAAAGTTGGGAAAGGCGATGGGCTTGGTGTTGGTGTCCCTTGTTGAGATGCTCCTGGGGATGGTGTTGGTTTCCCATGATATGGCACTCCTGGAGAAACTGTAATAACAGAACCACCACTATGTGTATCTGTACCAGTTTTAATTGTCACACTACTAGTACCAGTTATAGATGTTGTGTGATGGTGCATTCCTGGAATGTAGTAGTAACATCCAAGGAGATTAAATCTAAGTGCCAAGCCATTTGGGCCTCCATTTATTGGATGGATTTTGATAAATCTTGCTGTGATTGGTTGTCGCAGAATGTGCCTCATGATGGTATTTCTGTCATGATTTCCTTGGAATTCCATAGGGGTTCCTTGCGGATTATATGATGTGAATGTAAAGCCATCCATACTGTAAGTGATCTTATATTTGGTTACCCACTTGTCCTCTTTGGCACTACCCTGTGTCATAATACCAGATATCAGCTTGGGTTGTTTCATATCAACAAGAATCCATGGTTTGGTGTCATTTGGGCTGAAACCAAAACAGACAATAAAATCAGAAACATTATATTTGTCTTCCTTTAAATAATTTCACTCTGACAATGAACTTTTGAAATTATTGATCAATAATTTTGGTGTGAAATTAAAATTCAATACATTTACATGAATTATTTGCAATTTTTGTTAATTATAATCCAAAATGAAATGGGATTAGCATAACATTAATCAGAACTTACATTCCAAATTCTGATTGCATCATTTGTATTGCATTATTTTCTTTAAATTACATTATTTTTTGTCAATTGAATAACAATTGTAATAATACATGCACATGCTTATTTCTAAATTAATAGTTCTATTTTTTAAATATCATCTATAACACTAAATATAATTATAATTTAACTTTGTATACATTTTGTAGTTATTATGAACACATTATAGTTCAACATTATGCTCAGTCTTAATAATTATATTTTATATTTACTAACATTGAATAAAACACTTTATAGATTTATTTTCATACATCAGATCATTTTCATTTTCTGCTAATAACTAGTTCAGTACAACCAACAAAAGTGCCACTTTGAAAAATAAAAGTGATCTAAATCACTCATACAAAGATTAGAAGAGTATTTTAAATAATTTCAAATCATATTTAGGTATGGTGTGGACAAAATAAACTTGATATAGTACTATTGCAGAAAGTTACATTTATTGCAGCTCTTTAGAAAGATATGCATTTTTTCAGTAGATAAATGAGCTAAATGTGAATGAATGATAGTGGGTCCCTTTATATTTGCACAACAATTTCTTTTAAATTGCAATTTCATATTTAAATCAAATAATGTTCCCTGTTTTAATTTCATGTTTCCATCTGTAGAAACAGAAGAAACTACAAAATAAAGATTTTTCTACTAATTAAAGTTCATCAAATATCCTTGTATGACATGGGACCAATAAATAGAGATACTTGAAACTAAGACATTTGTCTACCAAAATTAACCTGAAAAGGTTGTTTTGGGGGCATTTTGTCTGTTACATAGGTTTACTCTTTTCTCATCTTGCTCACAGTTATGACTTAGAAGATAAACAGTTGTAAGGTGGTATATAGGATTGAGATATCGAAAACCCTGATGTTATAATTTTTTCATACAAATTTCCATAAAGAACAAAATTGTTACCTAGCAAACATTCAAGCGCAGTTATCATATCAAAGCGGGTCCAATTGACATTTTTCTTTTGTTTGTTAAAAAAAATGACCTGAGTTTGAACATATATATTCACATTCTGACTTTTTAAATGCCCAATTAAGTAGGCATGTGAATTTTTTAATGAGATTATGAGGGAAAGTGGTATATAGGGTAAACAAACATAACTTTGAACGGATTCCAGAGCACCAATTTAAGCATGCAATTTATCAAGTAATTCCAATGAATTTTCGACACTCCAAAAGTAATTAATTTCACTATTTTTTGTAGACCTTATTTGAAAATAAATGAGGAATGTGTCCATGGGACACAGATGATGGCCCCGCTTGCATATAAGGTTATAAAGGGACATAACTAGAGAGCTGTAAAAGTGACACCACCCAAATTCCAACTCAATCTGTGTTTTATGGTAAAGAGCATTGTGCATAAGTTTCATTACATTTGGTTGAGGCAAACTAAAGTTAGAGGATGGAAATGAAAAATTTAGTAATTTTTCCATTTATAAAGGAGCATAACTCTAGAAGGGTATAAGTGAAGCCACTCTAATTTTGGGACGGAGGTACAGACGGACAAGGCAGGGTTTGAAATTGATGCAGGACTGATAGCCCGAGGCTAGAAGAATTGCACTTAAGTTCAAGGTTACTTATTAGTTTAATAATGTACCTCAAGCTGCTCTATTAAGTGCAGTTTAACGAGCCTATGATTATGATGACAATTTTGACAAATTAAACTTCAAAGTCAAAGCTCCAGCAGTCAATGTTTTTAATATATATGTTGAAACTCATTTTAGAAAACAATTTGAATTTGATAGGAAAATATATAAAAAAAAAATAAGTACGGTAATTGATGCAGTCCCTTCACCAAAAATCAACAACATACTTATGTTTAAAAAAATGAATCAAATAGTTTCTGCATTTCAACATGCATAAATGTGTGGTTGCATGGGTGTTTTATAATACAAGTTTAATATATACTTGTACATTGTAAAGCGGTAGTAAAAAGTTTGTTAATGATGTCATTTTCCAAAAATTGAGTCAGTTGGAATGTTGGTGAATTTGTGATTTTCTTTTGCAGAACCTCAATATAGAATTTACGTCAGACAATAATGATATTACTGTCAGCTTTATCAGCCAAGACAAAAACAAATTCCTTGCACAGTTTTTGATATGAGAAATAGAGCTATTATGATTGTTGTTAGGAGTAAAATGTTCTTTAAAATATTTAATATGACTGTAAACTGTTTTATTACTGACTTGAAAAAAGAATCTAAGGATTTTCTTGTCAGCTTTTTCTCGTTTTATTAATTTATTTTATACAGTCATGACAGTAAGTATGAAGTGAGTTGTGGATGATGTCACGACACTCATTCCAATTAATAATTGACAGGGGATGATATTTAGGTCCTTTCCTAAGGAATGATTTCAACTCTGGGTCCTAGACTATGCTAATGTCTCCGGTTATAACATGGGAACTGGGGCCATATATCTATTCGGAAATACTGCATTTTTATGACAAAGGTGAATTGACACTGATAATAACATCTTCACACTCCTTGCTACATGTATAATTAAAAACATATTTCCGGGAAGATTGTTTGCAAACATAACAAATAACTCAGTATTATCAAAATATCCAGGAAATTTGTTCTTTTACAGTGTGATCATTTAGAATGCCTGCAATATTTATAAAATCAAAACCTTCATTGACATATTTGATTTAAAAAAAAAATGTTTTCTATGATCTTCAGGGCAGTCAATTTTGGAAAACTGTTTAGAATAATTATAATTTTGAAGATTTCATACTTAGGACTGCAATATGGAATTTTGTTGAAATCCTCCAAAATTTGATGTAAATTATTGACAGGTAAACAACAGAGCTTGGTTAACAGATGATGTCTGCCATTATTTTTAGAAATAATAATTAGGTCTAAAAGAATTGTACTTTTAGTACGAAATTTTCTCTTATTGCGATTTATTTTTTATCCATGAGCACGGTTTTTACTTACAGTTTTAGAAAATATATCCACAATGTTAACAGAATCAGTTCTTGATATATTACCAATTCCCATGATATTATCATTAAGACTGGGAAGATATAAAACTGTATGTAATTTTTTAATCCAATTTAATTCAATTATTTTCCATGATCGTACAAGTTTTTTACTACCTCTAAAGGTTGAACTGTTAAATATTTAACATGGTGATTGTGCTTCTTAAGGTGTTGATAAATGATACTTTTAAATTAATGGAGTCTTCTAAAACAGTAAAGGGGTTCTTGCATGCATTTAGATAAATAGAATCCGGTTTCTTCTATAAACTGAATACTGCAGCCAGGTTTGTTTCAGATAAGTAAATAGATAATACTGTTCGTTTTTCAATTTATATCAGTTTCAAAATTCAAGAATAGTTTATGACCATATAAAGTGGACCTTACCGTATTGTTGGTGGAATGACAGAGACATGTTCGACATGATTTTTATTATTGAAGGATAATTGTTAGCAATTGTAGTATTTCTAGATAAGCAATTTTGAAGATTCAGACGTGTAGATGTGAGCCAAATTTGTTCCTGTGAAAAAAAGTTCCAGTGGAACTAATATCACAGGAAATATGTTCTGGGAGAACTTTTTTCACAGATAATTTCTATATAATTTGTTCCATCTCTATAAAATAAGTTCCACACTTTACCTGGTGAAATAAGTTCTGGAATTGTGGAATTTGTTCCTTACCTAGTGAAATAAGTTCCGGGTTTGTGAGATTTGTTCCTTACCTGGTGAAATAAGTTCTGGGTTTGTGAGATTTGTTCCCCACCTGGTGAAATAAGTTACTTGTCTGTGAAATATGTTCCACTGGTTAAACAAGTTATCTTATTTACTGAGCATTTGTCATCAGTGAGTTTCAATTTATCATTCAAGTACATTATAAAAACATGTATTATATTGATAATGTAATAAAATAAAAGTGTCAACATCAAATTTGGATCCTGTGGAGTATGTAGTATGTTTAATAAAATACTACACAAAAATACCAAAATGACACTTATGAGCCAGAAAAGAGTAGAATAAGAAAAATCATTCCGAAAAAAGTTTAATTAAAGATGAACATGTGTACTAATTTGAAAAGGCCAAAGTGACTGATCAATTATTTTAAAAGACATAAAGAAACAAAAGACACACTCTTTTGAAACTGTGCCATGACGTAAGTACATGTATGACAGTTAACAGGAAACAAGGAGGAATACCATATAAAACATAAATACAAATTATGATACATTACCAATGCTTTTATTTCTTATCGTCATCATGTTACAGTCATGCCTTCAATTGCAAATGTACCCCATGCAAGCACAGTACAGCATCCAGCTTGCATTATAATTTAAGTGTTACAAGAAAATATTTAACTGTGCAATATGTTGCAAAGGTACTTATTTTCTGTGGAATAGGTTTGAGCGGAACTTATATTCATTGATTTCTATGAAATATGTTCGTTAAAAACTAATATCACAGGAACTTATTTCACTTTTTTAAAACTTTTAATATTGGAACAAAATTCATGGAGCTGTGATTTTTGTTCTGGAACTTATTTCACATTAGGTCAAAAAATTAGTTCTGGAACAAATTTTATAGTGCTGGAACTTATTTTCTGTGATATAAATTCCGGTTGAACATATTTCCTATGAAAGTTGTTCTGGCGGAACAAATGTCACGCCGGAACAAATTTTTTGTTACATAGATACCCTTTAAACAAGATTGGTATTAACCCTTTCACTAATTACTGCCCAGACGATGGAATACCAGTGACGATGGCCACTGAAGAAATATCTTAAAATCTGACCACTTAATTTCCAAACCTTCATTTTTTGAGATATCATCATAATTTTTTTTCTTTGAGAGAGATAACTCAAGAACACAATATGTCCTCATTTTTACCTTTAAAATTGGGTGACATCACAAAACATAGGTAATATAAAATGCAATTAACAGGTAAAATAAATTTATTTAAGAAACTAACTATTAAAAACATGCAATATATGATTAAAATTCACAATCAAGTATAAAAATGGTTTGTTAAATATCATTTCATAATTTGAGGTAATTTTTAAGTATAATTTGCTATATTTCTAATTACAGGTGAGTACAGGTAAATGTAAACGAGACAGCAAAATAGAGACTTTGAAAATACTTTTGTATATGAATAAATTTATGTAAAATGAATAAAATTCTACAACCTTCTCGAGTATTTATTGTTTTTTGTAGATCATGACTAGAATAGGTAAAAATTTGATTGGAAAATGTAAATACTTGACTAGAGTATGTAAATACAATTAACAAAAATAAAAAAACAACACAAGTCATCTCCAATACTGCACTTTGGTGTGATAGTCTTTGAAATAAGATGAACCCTTTTTAACACAAAGGTAAACATTGCATTCAGAACATTTGAACACTGTTTTCACAAGCTTATAAGGATTATCTTTTCGAGCAACTTATCTGTAAGCATTGGAGTATATATGATGTTTTATTGTACACACGACACATGTATGATTTGTACTGTCATTTTCTTCCGAATTCGGAAAGTGTATCCCAACATTTACCAGACGTTCTGGTATTTCGTTTTCTACATTTGCTGTTCTTTAAAGCTTCCTTTCAGCTCTATGCTCACCAACAAAAGCATTAAATTAGTTCATCAATGAATTGTTGAAAGTCACAGGGTCTTTTATGCAGTGGTTTATGATCGACAACATGTCCTTCTAAGATGTATGCATTGTATGCAGCCCATAAAACAGCTTTCAAGGCTAAATGCATGTACCATTTGTACTGCTTGGCACTTTTGGGTATGGTCATTTCTGTCCACACCACCCATTTGATTACTGTAGTCCTGTACAACAGTGGGACAATTTACATTTTCAACAACACCTTGTTTATTACGGCGTCCAATTTGAACAGTTACTGGTTAGTGAACTGTAGATAGAAAGTGAACAAGACGCTTATCTTTCCAAACAAAAGTTAAAATGTTGTCAGACATTTGCCATATAAACTGGCCTCTTTGTAACTGTTTATCCTTAATTGTAGCCAAAGTTTTGGGATATCTTTTATGGTTACTCCTTATTGTGCCGACCATACCTATACCACAAGCCTTCAAGTTGAAAGCCAGCACAACACTTGTGTTAAAGTTGTCTGTGTATACAGTATGATCCTTATATTCCACACCTTTTGTTAAATTTAGTACAACAGCAGCCGTTAGACCAAGATTTTCACCCTCAAACTCACTGTTACGTGCAATGTAAATTTCAAAACGAAAACAATATGCAGTCAGAGAATCACAAAGTAAGAACATTTTGATGCCCCATTTGTTCGGTTTGTCTTTTATGTATTGTTTGATGCCTTATCTATAATATTAAACGAGAAGACCTCATTTTGTGTGTCACTTCTCTTCTTTCCACAATAAATTAATCATCATGCATTTGTGTCCTATAGGTACCATGCATAGTCGCATTTGTCATCCTCGCTTATGATTATTCTGTTTGGGTTATTTTCTGAGAAAAACGATAAAAAAGGCGTCCAGATATTGTTTCCGTCATCGGTTGGGCTTTCAAGTAATAGACTAGACTTCTGTTTAGTTTTTTTCGAGGGTTGTAATGGGGTACCTTCATGACGAATAACGGTAAAAGTTCTTGCCAAATGATGTTAATGGTAATTTTTGGTGTATGACGATAAAATGTACACTTTCTTTTAGACGATAAAAACATCAACTGATTTTGACGAATCACGTTATTTTTTTTCTCCCAAAATGACGGTAACGATAATTATTTGAGACCTCTGACGAATCACGATAAGGATATTTTGACGAATCACGGTAAAATTTAACCAATTTGACGCTAACGGTAGCCGAAATGACTGTTTGACGCCTGACGTTAAACTGTTAAAGGGCATTACTACCTTCTTTCATAGGTGCTTGGGGAACAGGACATTTTTTTTCGCCTTATCTGTATACTATGAACATACATATACTATAAAAAGGTGTACATTGTATTTGCTATTTACTATCAATTCCAAGTTTACCATCAACGGCAGTCATATATTACATGCTTAACTTTTACTTTCTATTTGGCTACTTATATTTTTATTTGATCCAACTTATTGTGTACTATACATATATATGGATATCTTTTATTTTTTTCTCTCTTTTTTGGCTGTTTGTTTGTTATCTATATCAACCACACTTGCATTAAAATGCATTAGATATTTAATTTTTTTTTATTATAGATTCTTTATCTACATATTCTTTACGAACTTAAATAGTAGAGGGGGGGCCACTCCAGTCATGCTTGTGATTCCCTATATAATCAACCAGATTTTTCCCACGAAAAGGGGGGGGACCTGGCCCTGCCCGTCCCCCCGTTGATCCGCCTATGCCCGCGATTTCGCGGGTGTGTTCTAGTCTTCCCTTAAAAGGAACCATACACTCATGAATAGATACATTTTGAGCAGGATAATATTCCTCTTCAAACTTTTCTCGTAAATAATCAAGATAAGGTCTAATTTTATACAACCGGTCTGATTTATTGGCCAAGTCATCATCATAAAAATGTAAATATCTACTTATTTGGACAAATCTACGATACTCAAATGTTTTAGAAAATCCAGGAGTTGCAAAAATCCACTTGTCTGGCTTTTGACAGAAGTATCTTTCAAGTCTGGGACAATTTACACACATAAGAGTTGCCAATTTATTTCCAAAATATGCCTTCATTTTAAGTAATGTAATGGGCGTCCATTTTCCTTTTAAATGATCAGGGTCATTTTCATAGTTTAAGATAAATATGCCTAAAGTAATGAACATAGAGAAGTTCTCGCTTTGACACACACTCCATTATCTTGTATATTATAAGAGCATACAACTTATATGCATGTAATATCAAGAGAATCTTATTGTTTGGATTTTAACTATAACATTATAAATCTTACTGAGGAATCCATGATCCAAATGCATTCTGAAGACGTCCATATTGTGCATTAGTCATCTTTTCTCGAGATGATGAACTGGTTAACTGTGAATCTTTAACATGCAGACTGTTCTCAATTCCCATTGGTTCGTAACATAATGGGCGGGCTGTAGGTATGATCTGCATGCCTGTGCCTGATGAGGCCAAGGTACCAGATATGGTTGGTCCAGTATGTGGGGTCACCTCAATTGATGTTGTTTTTTCTACAAAATTACAATGAATAAATGTTCTCAAATTTTGCAATATTTAAACTGCTTACAGATTAAGATAAGAATGATAAAAAAATTAAAAGCTGAAAAAGATCTCATTCTTTGACCTGTGGATTTTGATTGCTGCCTTCTAATGACACATAAATTAAAAACTTTTCTCTGCAAATATCCTTTACAAAAAGATATATGAACTGACAATTGAAATTAGATCTAAATTAATTTCAATTTAACTCACTTGGTGGTGTTCTACAGGACAATACTTCAAATCTAAGTGAAATTCCACCGTAGAATTCTTTAGGCAATATTCTAACAAAATGTGTTCTGATTTCATTATCACCATTAGCACCATCAAGCATGACATCAACTGGTGTATTCTTGTCACTGTTTCCACTGAAAACAACGTCTGATCCAAGGTGAGCATCTTGAATTGTGGACCATGTCTGACCATTCAGACTTGTAGCAACACTGAACTTAGTTACCCACATATCATTGTTAGGGTTGCCCTGGATACGAATTCCAGCTACATACATTGTTTCTCCCAAGTCAATCTGAATGTATTCAGATGTGATATCATTGTACCTAAAAAAAAAACAACTTGCTGTTAACCTTATAAAATCATGCAAGTTGGCTTTTTTCTTTTAGTCTTTGGTGAATAGTTGTCTAATTGGCAATCATACAATATCTCCTTACTTTCATATGACCTGTCGTAAAAAAAACTTCTACGTCATTTGGTCTCTGGTGGAGAGTTGTCTCATTGGCAATCAAACCACATCTTCTTATTTTTATATTAGCCAGAATTTCAACTTTATTTAGATTTTTTCTGTATTTTGTCATTTAAAGGCACACATTTTTTGTTGTTTTCACTATAGTAATGGTTGAAATATGAATCAAGAAATTCCCAGAGCAAAAAAACATTTTTTTAAATATAGTGCATAAGGAAGTCAGCTTAAAAAATATAAACCCCAAATGACACATGGCAGTTACACAGCTGATATAAAAATACCATTTGCAGTTATATAGATAAGCTGCACAAGGGTCCGGAAACGGTCATATTTGCCAGTCATGTCCTAAGATGAAAGTATTTGTCCTAAACGAGTAATTGGGATTTAGGACAAATTTTATTTTTTACAGAAGTAATTTCGGTCATTTCATTGACTCAATGTTTGAAATCGGATTTCTTAGTCGCCATTTTGCACTTGTGATCACTTGTTTTTGTTTATAATCCCTTTCCTGTAATAAAACTGCCACTACAGTAGTTTGATAATCCTGAGGGCCCTCCTAATATCTATATCAATGCCACCGGGAAACATTGGCTAATGATCGCTAATCACTTTTTACCTGTGGTTTTAATTGTCCTTAATTCACACCTGACAGTGATCACAAGCTCAGAATAATATCTTTAAAACATTAAAGTTCCCTGACAAGTGTATTCATTATTTATTTACTTTTCATCAAAGACAGTCATCAATTCTGATTTATAAATTATTGTCTGGAAAAATTTCCGGATCCTTGGATAAGCATTAGCTGCAATTATCAGATTGGAACCTATTTTTCAACAAATAAAGGTAGGTCTGAGGGCCTAGTCTGTCGAGTAATAGAAGTGTAAAAAGGTAAAAATATTTTCCCTTAACGAAAGCATCAAAAATGTTTGAAATAGCTCATGAACAAAATAATAAAGTGAGCCAAGAGTATCCATTGCCTGTACTAGCTATATAGTATATACTCATTTTTTTGTAATTAACATTTCATTTTGGGACACACATTTCAGTTTTTAAAATACAGATAAAAACAATAAGATAATTTAAAATACAATCAAACTTGATTTGGAGAAGAAACTTGCCTAGCTTCCCAAGCCTTCTGACCATTAAGTCTGGCTTTGTATGCATCAGCGTCAGATCCCTTGGAAGAGCTAGCTTTGAACATCTCGTAACTGTAGATGGACCCATCTTGTATGCCAAGCTCAGTCTTGCAATCTTAGGTAAAAATATGTAAATATGTTTAACAACAAAGTAAATTTATTGTTGTCTTATTTTGGAAATCATGATATAATACAAAAAAAATAAAAATCTGTATGTTGAAGAGATTTTATCATGTTTATAGATAACTTATTTCTTGTTTTATGTTAACAATTTATGAGACTATAATCTTTTGATGAATCAGACAACATTTTAGATTTTTAAATTGTAGTTATGGTCGTGAAATAGGGTAATTTATAACACATTGTTTCCTTTTAGGTCTATTCCATTAAAATGAATGTGGGAGGGCAGGAAGGGAAGTTTAATTATTGAATGTGGGTCATGGGTCTTTCTTCAGTATGCGTCTATTACCATTATGCAAAATTATCTAAAAAATGGTTCTTGGTTGTAGGGATATTTTGAAAGTTCCTTCCTACCCTCCCACATACATTTTAATGGAATAGCCCTTAGGGTTGTTTAGCATTCGTTGCAATGAAATGAAAATTAACCTAACTACAGTTAACTCTCTCTGTCTTGAACTCAAATTTCTGATGAGTTGAAATTTTTCCCATGGTCCCAAACTTTGTTCCATATAAATTAATATATGTATTTCTACTACTGATGAGTCAAAATTGGATAAGTTGAAATTTTGGGTTGTCTGGAATTAAATTTACAGTCCCAAGGTTATCAAAAACATTTAAATTGCATTCTGTATGTCAAAAAATGACCTCAGGGATTTAAATTGATTGACCAGACAACCTGACAATACACCTGTAATAAATTAGAGAGACATATACATGTATATAATACAATATAATGTCTCTGTCAGTGATGGTAATCATACATTAATGAGCTTGGTTGTGTAGAAGGTGATTCTCTAGTGGAAAAAGATTAAAATAAAGGAAATTTACTTTAATCATAATAATAAAATACTATTTCATACAGATACATCAATCTCAGACCATAATGTCAACCCCTGACCCAATTTTTCGAGCCGTCATTTTTCCGCAAATCTCAAACAAAATCTAAATTTGTGCAGTTATGAATTCGCGATAGCCCGGTGTCCTACATAAGTATTTTACAATAAATCATTTGGAAAGTAAACAATTTTACATGTGTCGTAAATCAAATGATATAATCAATCAGATAACTTTTTTGTCGGTTCATTAATGTGAAAGTAGTTTAAAGTTATTAGTCATGTTTGCTTTTAAAAACACATACACAATAAACCAAGAAGAATGACATATTTAAGACTCAAATTAAGAATGAATGAAATATTTTCAGGATTACTGCTAATTAATTTATAAATCTTTTGATCTGATTAGTCTGTGTAGCAGATACCATGAGGTAATCATAGTAAAACTGATTGACAGCTGTTTACATATTTGAAACAATTGTTTATATAACAATATCCCTAAAAACTGCTTGCTTGAGATGTCTTCCATGTTAATTAGGCTAACATGAGTTAAGTTGTGATTTCTAACATTGCCTTTCATTTAGAAATACATTTAAAGTTTTGATTTTCGGTATAGATCTGGAGTGTGTAAAACTGGTGTTCTGCAGTAGTCTTGTACATATTCGTTTCATATACATTCATGTATGGTCTTCATCTTATGAATCGGCTTTCCGTGAAATATTTACGGCAGTTTTATTTTTGCATTTCAACTCTTACCGCGAAAATAGCGAAAATAAAACTGACGCGAAAATTTCCCTGTTTACAGTATCATATATGGAAGGTATAATAACATTAATTAACTTACGATCAACAGGTATTTGAGTAACTGTGCCTGTTATTTTTGCTGTTGTGGCTATGAATGGTTCAGAACCTGTTTGTTTTGTAGGTCCACTAAAATCCTTGGTTGTTACTTTGGTTGGCTGTTCCATGCTAGTTGTTGGTCCAGCTGTGGCTAAAATTTTTGTTTTTATCATTTATCTAAAAACAGTTCCATATATTTCCTGCTCATAATCAACTGACAAAATATTATAATAACCTGTTGTCATCATATCAAATATCAACTTATAACTGCCTAAATACCCTCTCCATCAGTATACTGTTCAAAGCCCAGTCATTCACCTAATAAAAACATCATAAGAAACAAATTTCCCACTGGATGTGTACTCATATACTATACTTCGTTCTTAAATATTATTTAAATATAAACCAGGTATACCAAAAAATGTTCATGAAATTTCTTATGTTTTACACAAACTAAATGTGTACCGGTAACTACAATGTTAAATTGCATTTTTGCTGAGTTATCCAAAAGATAAACATACCCTCTTTTATTTTCAATACTATTAAACCATGGTGATAACTTACAGTATTTGCAGTTACAGTAGAAGCGAACAGAGTAATCAGAACATTTTCCTGTTGATTGGTTCATCTGGTCCCAGTTGTTACAAAAAACTCCAGTTTTATTACAAGTCACAACCTCACCAGTGTGGTCATGGGTAATATTTGTGCCTGCTTTGTAACATCTTGCTGCAATGATATTTCCAGCATCACAGAAGGCATATTTTTTACGTAGTTTTGGAATGGTTTCATAATCTCCATTATTGCTGCTGTCAGGTGTGTCCACATTCATTTCCTGAGTCCAGCCATGATCACAAACAATAGTTCCAGCAGATGGGGTTGCTGTCAGTGTTGGTAATCGTTGTAAGTCTGAGGTTGGTTTAGGTGTTGGTTTATCAAATGGTGGAATTGTAGGTTTTGGTGTGGGCTTTTTACCTTTGAAAAAAATCATAAATACACAATATGAATCATGACTATTTAAGCAGTTTACCTGACCCTTTTTTTAATCCAAAGAATTCTAAAATTGAAAAAATAAAAAAAAAAAGATTTTATAAATCAATCGAGAAAATGTATGTACTTTGACACTGAATAAAATTCTTTAGAATTTTCAGTTCATGTCACTTACAAGTGTGGCCTGTATTTAGCATCAGCTGTTTACATGTTGGTGCCAGTAATATTGAAATAGATGCCAGAAAAATCGCATTTACAATGCATCAATACTTTATTTGCCTCTGGAATTAATGCATCCCTTTTAACATGTTTAACAACAATTGTCATTTTGTATTCCTTTAGAAGATTTTTAATGGTGAAAAAAGCTACTGTTTTGACAGGAAGTGCTCTAAGGGAGCTTCACATTCATTTTATTGAAATATTTTTGGAATGCTCAAAAAAAAATTCAGTTTCAAGGTAAGATAAGAGAATAAATAACACGGCAGACAATATCTTTATTAACCTACTTAAAACAAATTTCTGTTGTGAATTCTTGTTACAGTAAAAAAAAGTACTCCAAGTTGTCTCATTACAATTACATGTACAAGTAATGTGTAGAGTAACAATTATTTTGCAATAACATATTATAAACCAAGATGGAAGAATTACAATCACTTTGCAGCAAAGGTAAGTCACTTGTAGTATTTTGAAAGCAATTTTATTGAATGGAAAAAAACAACTTGAGTGAACACAGTCAAAAGTTTTAAAATAAAATCTGACAAATTTACCATGATTTTGATTATCTTTTTTTAATTCCTCTTGCAATGCATATAAATAAAGGCAACTGTAAAAGTGGCTTATGCAATGCATATTTATTTATTCAGTCCTAACAAAAATCTCAAATGAAGATGTGAATCATATGCATGCACTCAAATATAACATACTGACAATTTTTCTTTTATCAATACTGTAAATTCAGAAATTATTGCATTTATTATTGCGATTTTTGAAAAATTAACAAAAATGAGAGTTTAACTATTGGGGATTTTGGAAAAACTACATACAGATATATCGGGTTGTTGTCTCTTTGACACATTCCCCATTTCCATTCTCAATTTTATATGTATTTGATATCAGAATGCGAGTTTTTATTATTGCGATACGCATTAATAAAAACCTCGCAATAATTTCTGAATTTACAGTATCTATATTATTCTTACATACAGTTAATTAAATACAGTACTGGTAGTTCTGATGTTTTGAAAATACTAATTTTATACTTACATAGACAATAGAATCTAGACTTGTAGTCCTGACATGTTTGGGTCTGGTCATTTACACATGTAAGTCCGTTAATATTACAATCCACATTTTGTCCAGTATTTTTGTATTCAAGTCCAGAACTTGCCACAGCACATTGAGCAGCAATTACCTCATCACAAGTTTTTGGATATCCAGGAATATCTTTGGGTAACTCAACATCTCCAATGGATCCTGAAGGATGGTTAACATTTATCCAGTCTGTCCAGCCTTCAATACAAATGTCTGTTCGAGGTGATGGAGTTGGTGAGCCATTAGGTCCTGTTCCAGGTGATGGAGTTGGTGAGCTATTAGGTCCTGTTCCAGGTGATGGAGTTGGTGAGCTATCAGGTCCTGTTTCGGGTGATGGAGTTGGTGAGCCTTTAGGTCCTGTTCCAGGTGATGGAGTTGGTGAACTATTTTTTCCTGTTCCAGGTGATGGAGTTGGTGAGCTATAAGGTCCTGTTCCAGGTGATGGAGTTGGTGAGCCATTAGGTCCTGTTCCAGGTGATGGAGTTGCTGAGCTATGAGGTCCTGTTCCAGGTGATGGAGTTGGTGAGCCATTAGGTCCTGTTCCAGGTGATGGAGTTGGTGAGCCATTAGGTCCTGTTCCAGGTGATGGAGTTGCTGAGCTATGAGGTCCTGTTCCAGGTGATGGAGTTGGTGAGCCATTAGGTCCTGTTCCAGGTGATGGAGTTGGTGAGCCATTAGGTCCTGTTCCAGGTGATGGAGTTGCTGAGCTATGAGGTCCTGTTCCAGGTGATGGAGTTGGTGAGCCATTAGGTCCTGTTCCAGGTGATGGAGTTGGTGAGCCATTAGGTCCTGTTCCAGGTGATAGAGTTGCTGAGCCATTAGGTCCTGTCCCAGGTGATGGAGTTGGTGAGCTATTAGGTCCTGTTCCAGGTGATGGGGTTGGTGAGCCATTAGGTCCTGTTCCTGGTGATGGAGTTGCTGAGCTATTAGGTCCTGTTCCATGTGATGGAGTTGGTGAGCCATTAGGTCCTGTTCCAGGTGATGGGGTTGGTGAGCCATTATGTCCTGTTCCTGGTGATGGAGTTGCTGAGCTATTAGGTCCTGTTCCATGTGATGGAGTTGGTGAGCCATTAGGTCCTGTTCCAGGCGATGCAGTTGGTGAGCTATTAGGCCCTGTTCCAGGTGATGGAGTTGGTGAGCCATTAGGTCCTGTTCCAGGTGATGGAGTTGGTGAGCCATTAGGTCCTGTTCCAGGTGATGCAGTTGGTGAGCTATTAGGCCCTGTTCCAGGTGATGGAGTTGGTGAGCCATTAGGTCCTGTTCCAGGTGAAGCAGTTGGTGAGCTATTAGGACCTATGCCTGGGCTTGCAGTTGGTGAGCCATTAGGATTTAGTGTTGGTTGTGCTGTTGGTGAGAACTGATTTTCCGATCCAGGTGATGGAGTTGGTGAGCCATTTGGACCTGCAGATGGACTGTGTGTTGATGGACAAGCATCCACACAATAAACACGGACCTCATAATCCTTACAGTGTCCATTGTTCTGGTTAATATCCTCACATACAAGTCCTCTGTTGACATCACATGACACACCCTTCTGATTAACAATATCATAGCTCTGCTTTGTGACAATTTCACGGCATTCAATCTTTGCTGGAAATTCACAGAAAGAATATTTCATTCTGAGATTGCTTATTGTTTCATATTCTCCTTTTGATTTAGTGATCTTGGTGTGACTATTCATCCATGGAGACCACATACAAGATGGTGTTGGGACATATGGGATTCCTTGACCAGGCGTTGTTGTGTAGCCTCCTGTGACAGTTTTAAAGCCTGCAAAAATCATATACATTAGTAAAATAAAAACAACCTAGAGGCTTTAAGTGGTATTTATGTGTAATGTCAACAAAAGGCTCCCAAGATCCTGAATTACTCACCTGAAAAAAAAATGATAAAATAGGCAAAAACTCAACAGTTAATAAATAAATGGTCTGTTAAGGGCAATAACTATTATAAGGTGTCAGCCAATGATTTCTGTCATATTGGCATTCTTATAGATTTGAATTTTACCGATCTTTTATATTTTTCAAGAAAAGAAGCAAATACTTGAAAATTAAAAAAAAAAAATCCTTCGAAAGGCAATAACTTCTATAAGGAGTAATCTGAAAGTTACCATTATTTAGCATTTTTGTATATCTTGAATAGCTTATCATTTATGCTATTCACAGTTTCTACCCAGGGCTTCTAACAAATATTTGAACTAGCTGGAACTTTTTGTTCTTGTCCCAATTTCTATCTATTATAATTTTTAAGATAATAAACAAAAACTTGAAAATTAGTCAAAATTTTGCCATTAAGGGCAATAACTCCCCTAAGGTGTCATCAAATGGTTTCTAACATTTGAAATTAATGTAATCTTATATTGCTGATCATTTTTGCTGTTCATAGTTTATACCTATCAAATACTTTTCAACATAATAGTCAAAATCTAGAAAATTTGTGAAAAATTGTTATTTAAGGGCAGTTACTCCTATAATGAGTGATCAGATGGTTTCAGTCATATGGATTTTTTGTAGATCTTATTTAGCTAATTGTTTTGGCTGTTAAAAATTTCTACTTACTTTCATAATTTCCAATAAAAGAGGCAAAATCTTGTAAATTAGTAAAAAAAAAATAAATCATTAAAGTGCAATAATTCCTATAATGAGTCATCTGATAATTTTGATTAAGCAAGAAATAGGTAGATATTGACATTCTGGGCATTTTTGCTGTATGTCAGATTTTCTTTATCTATAATAGTTTCCGAGATATAAGACAATTGATGTCAAAGAGTCAACTAACCGAACACCTAGGGTAACCCAATTAAACACAATGTAAATTATTTTGAATTTGTGCCTAAGGCTTATATTCCATTAAAATGTATGTAGGAGGGTAGGAAGGGACTTTCAAAATATCCCTACAACCAAGAACCAGTTGTTAGATAATTTTGCATAATGGTAATAGACTCATACTGAAAAAAAGACCCATGACCCACATTCAATAATTAAACTTCACTTCCTACCCCACCCCACATGCATTTTAATGGAATAGCCCTTAGTTAATACTGTTTTAGATGACATTAGTGTAATGTGTGTTCATAGTGTTACTGGTATTCATAATGTAGAAACAGATCTTATCCACAAAGTAAAGCACAACCTACTGTCAGAATATAAAGTTAAAGTTGGCTTATTATATATAAAATCAACTTTTTCAAATACTGACTTTTGTTTTAGGTCATGTGACCCAAAGTAGAGCTAATGAGATCAGCTAGTTTAAAAAAAAAACATGCTAAAACTCATAATCAATTTTAATGAAAATTGTGTTCAATGCTCTCACACTTACCTGCTTACAGCAGTTACATAATAGTGTGGAAAAAAGATTCTGATAAGTCCTATGAAGGGCCAAATTAGCCTTCATAGCAGAAAAAATAAATTTTAAATCCATCAAAATATGTCAATTGCCATCAATTTAAAAAAAATAGACAATTTTCCGAAAACAGGATAAATAGTAAATTGTGAAGCTGCCTTTGTTAATATTCAGGTTATAATTAATGAAAATAATACTAAGTATATAGTTGTGTTTTTGACAATTTGTGTACTTCATAAGACATGTATGCTTTCCTTTCTGATTACAATTAATTTAAGTTCTTCTGCAGACTGAAATCCACCTTGCAGTATATTGTATAAAATATAAGAAATAAAACTACTCAGGAAATCTCATCTAGTAGAGCATCCATATTCCACTGTTCAGGATGCATAAACAGTGCACCCATGTTCAATCAAATACACATTTAATACCTTCATATGAGATCTAATCAATAAAAATCAATCAGACTTAAATCTAAATTTAGTAAATATGTTACCTCCACAATCACAGTAAACACTGACTTCATAATCAGAGCAATTTCTGCCAGCCTGTTTGGAATTTGAACATACCAGACCATCAATAAGGTCGCAAGTCACCTGGTTATCTTTAGAAGATGTGTAAGGAAGTTTGTCAGCAACAGTCTGACATTTAATGGAATTTGGTTTGGCACAGAAGCTGTAGTGGTGGCGTAATTCTCCCATCAATTCAAAATCTCCAGAGTCTATAATCTCAAAAGGATTCTTAACAGTAGGAGAATCAACATTCATCCATTCAGACCAACCATCTTTGCAATTGAAATACACCGTAGTTTGGGTTGGCTGCAGTGTAGGTATACCACTATTGACTCCAGGGCTAGGAGTGGGTGCTCCACCAGTGTGTAATCCTGGGCTTGCAGTTGGCTGTTTAGTTTCTTCTGGGTTTGGTTTTGGGGTTGTAGATTTTTCATCTCCATTCTGACGGTATTTTGTTGGTGTTGGTGATTCCCCTGGCAAGTAAGTAGGACCTGGTGTTGGCGATCCTGTCAAACCTGAATTTGGTTGTGGGGTTGGTGTGCCACCAGTTTCATCTGTTGGTCGTGGTGTTGGTTGATGACCTGTTCCACCTGTTGGACTTGGTGTAGGTTGTCCTGCTGACCAACTTGGTGGACTAGGGGTAGGTGATCCTGTCTTACCAATATGTGGATGTGGTGTTGGCTTACCACCTGTTTGATATCCAGGAGTGAGACCTATCAAAAAAATACTTTCTTAAAACCTTTGCATTGTTATCTTCAATTACTTTCCTAGCTATTAATTTTTTTCTACATATCAACTATATAGATTTAAACATGTTCAATCCACATATTTTTATGGGTTTCCCAATGCTCAGACATGTGTAAAATGTTTTGTGGACTGATGTTTGTCTCTTCATCTTTTTTTCTTTTGGCCATGGTGTTGTCTGTCTTCTTATATATTAACTTCTGCAAAACACATTGTTCTATGTGAGTGGTGTTACAACAAATATGATTATTATACTTCATGTCAAAATGCCAGATTTTGATTGGTTAATACGAGGGAGACAATTTACTCTATCCCATGGCAAATACTCTATTACCCTTCACGGAGACGCTTGCTCAAGTGTGCGCTTTAATAAATACGGATGATTGTTATGTATAAGACGACATAGTTTATTACTCTGAATTTGAAATTTAATAGCCAGTAATAACAGAACATTCAGTATAATAAATTAAATTAAAGAACCTTAGTGAGCGCGCTCACATACCCCACGTCCCCACATTGTCATTGGAGAAATAAAATAAGTGTAAGAAAAAAAATTGAATCATAATTTCCTGTCAATATGCACATCTACATAGTATGACCTTATTATCTACAAAGTTTCATGAAATTCTGTGGTGTGGTTTCAGAGGAGTTGCGATGACAAACTGTTGCAGTAGTACATTGAAGCAAATAAGTTCAAAGGGGCGTAACTCCTAGAAAAAAAATTGAATCGTAATTTCCTGTTGATATGCACATCTACATCTTATGTCCTTATTATCTAAAAAGGTTTCATGAAATTCTGTGGTGTGGTTTCAGAGGAGTTGCGATGACAAACTGTTGCAGTAGTACATTAAAGCAAATAAGTTCAAAGGGGCGTTACTCCTAGAAAAAAAAATGAATCGTAATTTCCTGTCGATATGCACATCTACATAGTATGTCCTTATTATCTAAAAAGGTTTCATGAAATTCTGTGGTGTGCTTTCAGAGGAGTTGCGATGACAAACTGTTGCAGAAGTACATTAAAGCAAATAAGTTCAAAGGGGCGTAACTCCTAGAAAAAAAATTGAATCGTAATTTCCTGTCGATATGCACATCTACATAGTATGTCCTTATTCTCTACAAAGTTTCATGAAATTCTGTGGTGTGGTTTGAGAGGAGTTGCGATGACAAACTGTTGCAGTAGTACATTGAAGCAAATAAGTTCAAAGGGGCGTAACTCCTAGAAAAAAAATTGAATCGTAATTTCCTGTCGATATGCACAACTACATAGTATGTCCTTATTATCTAAAAAGGTTTCGTGAAATTCTGTTGTGTGGTTTGAGAGGAGTTGCGATGACAAGAAACCGGACTGACGGACTGACGGATGGACGGGACGGACGGACGGACGGACAGACGGACGGACGTGTCAAAAACATTATACCCTTCGCAACCCGTTGCGTGGGGTATAATAACACATGTCTTAGAGGGTGATAGAGCAGATTGTTACCCCTCGAAAAGACATTGTCAACCTTGGCTTCGCCTCAGTTGACAATGTTTTCTCGGGGTAACAATCTGCTCTATCACCCTCTCAGCTATGTGTTATTTATATAATATTTCATTGCTTCACTATATTTCATTGCATGCAATGATGCATATGATCTTTGACTTTTTCATCTATCAACTTTTATTTATTTCATTCTTATATATTACTCATATCTTAATATGCTTATATCATCACAAATCTAAATATTTCTTCTGTAAGTTATTTTTAACAGACTTGTATCATAAAAATTTGTAAGGGTTCCTCGGAACCCAGTGTCTCGCCTACTTTTGCTGTTAGTCGCAGGCTCAACAAAAATGGTGAAAAAAAATATTAAAAATTTTCCTCTAGATACTATCTTTTGATTGTAAGAAGCTTCTATCCAAGTTTGGTAAAAATCCAGGATGGTTTATGAATCTAATAAATGTTTTAAAAACTTAACTGCAGACTGTATGTAATGTTAACTGGAAGAAAAACTAAGTCCATTTATAAGTAATATACGGAAAAACAGGAAATAAATTTTTACAAAAATTTCTTTCTAGCTACTAGCTTTTGATCATAAACAAGCTACTGTCCAAGTTTGGTACAAATCCAGGATAGTTTAAGAAGTTATTAGAATTTTAAAAACTTTAACCACAGAGTGAATGTAATGTTAACTGGCAGAAAAACTAAGTCCATTTATAAGTAAAATACCGATAAACAGGATTTTTTTTTTTACATAATTTACTTCTGGATACTATCTTATGATCATAAATAAGCCTCTATCCAAGTTTGGTAGAAATCCAGGATAGTTAAAGAAAGATATTAAAATTTTAAAAACTTTAACCACAGAGTGAATGTAATGTTAACTGGCAGAAAAACTAAGTCCATTTATAAGTAAATAGTTATCAAAGGTACCAGGATAATAATTTAGTACGCCAGACGCGCGTTTCGTCTACATAAGACTCATCAGTGATGCTCATATCAAAATAGTTATAAAGCCAAACAAGTACAAAGTTGAAGATCAAAATATGGATGAACAGGATTTTTTGTTTTACAAAATTTACTTCTGGATACTATCTTATGATCATAAACAAGCTTCTGTCCAAGTTTGGTAGAAATCCAGGATAGTTTAAGAAAGTTATTAAAATTTTAAAAACTTTAACCACAGAGTGAATATTTGTGGACACCACCGCCGACGACAACAGAATGTAGGATCACTATGTCTCGCTTTTGCGACAAAAGTCGCAAGCTCGACAAAAATCATTATAAAGGAGATAAAATGATACAAATTGATCAGATGCACAGAAAGAAGAATTTTGTTCCCCCAAAAATTATCAGAAACTTTTTACAAATTGATCAGATGCACAGAAAGAAGAATTTTGTTCCCCAAAAAATTATCAGAAACTTTTAAGAATTTTGTTTCTGTCTGAAACAATTGATATACATGAAACATATGGTAAATACATACCACAATTACAATCAAAACGAACTTCATAATCATTACAATATTGCCCATTGGCCTGGCTAGCTTTCAGGCATCTCAGTCCTTCTTTCAGGTCACATGTAACTTTCTGTCCTGAATCTGCTGACATGGTATTGGTTCCAACAACTCGACATTGTATGGCAGTCATCATGTAATTGTCACAGAAGACATACTTCTTCCTAAGTCCTGATATTGTCTCAATGTCACCTTGATTTGTTGGGGTTGGCTGAGAAGCACTCATCCAATCAGTCCAATCATTTCTCAGACATTTTATTGCCATTGTTGTTTCTTGAGAGGGTTGACCACCACCATTTGATGTTGGAGAAGGAGTTGGTATTTCTACTGGTATTATGGCAGGAGATACTGTGCTTGGATGAGGAGTGGTGCTACAGAAACCATTACGTTTCATTTCACCATTGTCACTGCAGTAACTGTTCAGAAAAAAATCTTAAGATGAATATCTATTTACCAATAAATGTACTTATGTCATGATTAGAAAAGAATTGCTTTTTAATATTATAGTGTTTTATGCTAAAATATATTGATATATGTTGTATATGTAACATACATGTATTTTTGGTGTGTGTTTTACAGTCTCTCATAACTCTTTTAAGAGTGGCTCTTTAATAAATTGATCTGTTGTTATTATATTGTGTTTTATATCAAATGTTTTAAAGAGGTGAGACTCTAATAAAGTATTTGTTGTTGTTGTTGTTGTTACCAGCAACCAAAACCTGTCTCTCAACTACTTAATGTTCATCATAACAAATGGACAAAAATGGCTGTATTTCCACCTCAAAAACTACTCTGAGTACAGACTTACCTGTCCAGTTGGAAAAGTTTTAATGCCTGGCATCCACTAGATATATAAAAGTTAAATGCATTTTGTGAATCAGAAAGACAAAATCTTTTTTGGATTTTGATGGCCATTTTTTTTCCTTTCTGTAGAAGGTGTAAAAATAAACTAAGTTGGGATAAAACTTTGAGATGCTCCCTCTCAGGTAAAAACTGTATTGTATTGTATTGATTTTCCTTGATTGACACGGACAATAGACAGACAATAGGTACCTACACAACTATAGGTGAGTTAAAGGGTTTAACTGAGTTAGCTTATTTTCGATTATGTTACTGTGACTTGACTATGGGTGTTGCTGTTTACCTGTACCTATTGTTCAACAAGATTGTAAAATTGACAATACAATTGGGACATTTAAATTGACATCAGTTGAGTCTACCTTGATGCTACCTGTACTGATTTTTATTCACCTAACCCAACCTTACAGCATGCTTTTTTCCTGAAGTTTTTCTTCACCTAGGGTTATTCTATTATAAAATTGATAGGGAAGAAAATATTATTGGTTTTCATTGTTTTAAGCCCCCAATATAGATGATTAATCTAATTTTGACCCAATAATTTAAATCAGTCAAAGATTTTCAGAACTGCATTTTAATATGTATGAAAATTAAAACTGTTTTTACATAATAAATGAATCTTTAAATTTTTAACCCTTATACAAAGTATTGTCCAGTTGTCAATGAAACAAGAAATAGCTATTCAGGTGTTTTCAGTTTCAGTTTTCAGATGGATATGTTATGTGTTTCTTCATATGTCCCTTCAAATTTTTCATTTTGGATTTTTATTCGCAGTGTTTGAAATCTATTGAAATCAATTTGCATAAAATATTGGGATTTACTTTATTTGAATTCAATTCTGAGGTGCATTTAATTTTGCTTCTTATTAAAATGTGACTATGAATGGATTGTCATGAATGTATCAAGGAGGAAATAATTCATTCAAAATGTTTTGTGTGGCTTTCACATGATGTACATGTAAAAGCCAAAATAATTTTGGAGTATACTTGCAGTGTTTTTCTTTGATATCTATTAGGATTTTTGTGCATAAAAAAACTGTTCACTCAAGGAAATTCACCTTTTATAAGATGGGATTTAGTTAACCAACAACATGTTTCTGTGTCTTTAAATGTTTAAATGTGATTTTGGAAATAATCATTATAAAATTCTGGATCTAATATGAAGAGGATTCATTTTGGAAATAATCATTATAAAATTCTGGATCTAATATGAAGAGGATTCACCTGTTTAAATGGGATATATATCATTGAAATGAAATAAAATGTGAATACAGTGGATATAGTCAAATCTTAAGTGATAAAGTGAATAATAAAAGTAAAATATTCCAAAAAATTCATTACATGAGGATAAAAATTTAATGTGATATTGGAAATAATCATTATAAAATTCTGGATCTAATATTGTTAAATTGGGACATACATCATGGGAAATGAAATAAAACCTGAATAATGTGGATATAGTAAAATCAAGTGATATAGTGTAAAATATAAAATATACCAAAAAATTTGTAAAGTGAGGATAATTATTTTCAATGTGATATTGAAAATGATAAAAAATTACAAAATTCTGGATCTAATATAAAGACTCTGCGTCTGTTTTATTGGGATATACATATCATGGGAAATTAAACAGAATACTGTGGATATAGAAAAAAAATCTAGTGATATAGTGAAAAATGTAAGAAAATATTCCAAAAAGTTAATAGAATTAGGAATATAGTTCAAAAATTACTTCAAATAGTATTACTTCAAATAGTGAAAACTGGAATACTGGATGGGATTTTAAATATCAGTGTCAATAAATAAATAAATAAACCAGTTTATTCATAACTAATATTTTTGATATTTCTCTATGCATGAACACTTTGTATAAGGCTCATGTCAATAAGTATTGAACAAATGTCTAAACAAAGGAATGCACACATTTGTTCTGGTGTTTTTTAATCCTGGAAAATTATGGAAATTATGAAATAATTAAGATTTCTTTGAAAGTAACAAATAAATCTTTTGAGTTATCTCCCATTAGAAAGAGCGAATGAGATAAAAGAGGTCTTTTTCAACAATATAAAAGAAATCCAAGCATTCATAGTATTTGAATATGAAAACATTAGAAATGTAGTGCATTATATGACATGCAAGTTAATGCTCTGCAAAAAATAACCATATATATTCTTGTTCTGGCTTGCTCACTCTTGAAATTTGAAATGACAGTAAAATAAAAATCTCTCCTTTTTCTTCTAAATGTTGTGTTTCTTTGGAAATTGTATGGCCAATTACTTCAAGGAATACATTCATTTCAATGAAAAAGACTGTAATTACATTGTGTATTCCCTTTACTTATTTTAGGATTCTCTAAAGAAAAACATGGGGAAATGATATTAAACAAAAATCTGCAGTCTTTAGCAAATATTAGAACATGGAATAATTTTGCATATTGTGGCCATATTCTAGCTTTTTTCATACCATATATACTTATTTAAACTGTAGGCATGTTATGTTATTTCACAAAGATAAAACTTAAAACCTAAATGCCACATGGATAAGTTTTTCAAAACAGTGACAATTGAACAGGTAAAGTGATGGGACAGCATCAAGGTAGACTCTAAATGCAAGAGTGATTACCTATTGTCAACTCTTAACAATACCAACTGGTCAATTTAAATGTCCCAATTGTATTGTCAATTTTACAATCTGGTTGAACAATAGGTAAAGGTAAACAGCAACACCTATAGTCAAGTCACAGTATTATTTCTATAAAAGCTCGTTTATGTTGTTTTTTACTAAACGTACCAGATTTCACAAGTTTGATCACAAACTGCCTCATCTGTAATTTGCTCATTCTGACGATAATGTCTACCATTGAAAACACAGACAGAATTGTTACAGAGGGGTTCTGGGATACATTTCATTGGTTTTTGTGTTCCATCATAAACCATTCCATCTGCACAAGGCTCAATTTCACAACCTATAATTTCAAAGTAATATTTTTAATTTTTTTAAATATTAAAAAAAATAAATAAATGGAGAATGTGTCCATGAGACACAGATGATGTCCCAGCTTGCATATAACATGAGAATGGTAAAAGTGACGCCACCCAAATTGGAAAAAATGCAATCTGTAAAAACCAAACTTTTGATTTCAAGTCTGGGTGGAATATTCAAGGACCACTATATATATACATATATATAAAAATTGCTGTTTTTATCCAACGCAATCATAGGTTTGAACGCTGTTTTCAATTTAGACTTTCTTATATTTTTTCGTTTGGGCTTGTATTATATTTCCCTTCGGGTTTATATGATCCTTTCCTCCTATTTCGATTCTTCAAAATTCAAGAGTCTATCTTAATTTGAGGTAAATTATATGGCCTTCCAAATACCGTTTCGATTCCTAACACCACTGAAGAGACATTAATTGTCGAAATCCGGATATGGTGTACTAATTTTTGCACCTTTTGTTTGCTGTATACCATCTTTTCCGCAAGTTTATTGTTTTCTGTTTGGTATCAAATTTATAATTTAAATCCATTTTGTTACATCTGGTGATCCGTTTATTTGGCAAATGTCAATGGCAGTCAGCAAGGTTTAAGAACATCAGTTGTTCGACCTGCTAGTCAAATGCGTTTTGTTAAAATATACTTTTTCACTTTTTTGGTCTTTTGGAAAATGTTGTTTGTGCTGTATTTAGACCCCTCTACCAAGAAATTTGTTTTGCATGCACACGTATAAAAATTGCGGTTTTTATCCAACGCAATCATAGGTTTGAACGTTGTTTTCAATTTAGACTTTCTTTTATATATATATATATATATATATATATATACAAGAGTCTATCTTAAATTGAGGTAAATTATATGGCCTTCCAAATACCGTTTCGATTCCTAACATCACTGAAGAGACATTAATTGTCGAAATCCGGATATGGTGTACTAATTTTTGCACCTTTTGTTTGCTGTATACCATCTTTTCCGCAAGTTTATTGTTTTCTGTTTGGTATTAAATTTATAAATTAGATCCATTTTGTTACATTTGGTGATCCGTTTATTTGGCAATGGTCAATGGCAGTCAGCAAGGTTTAAGAACATCCGTTGTTCGACCTGCTAGTCAAATGTGTTTTGTTAAAATATACTTATTCACTTTTTTGGTCTTTTGGGAAATGTTGTTTGTGCTGTATTTAGACCCCTCTACCAAGAAATTTGTTTTGCATGCATACGTATAAACATTGCAGTTTTTATCCAACGCAATCATAGGTTTGAACGTTGTTTTCAATTTAGACTTTTAGAAATTTACATATACACAATAGCTTCGAAGTGTTTCAGTAATCAATTGTATAGCCTGATTTTGGGGCTTATAATAATGAGAGAGCTTTATTAACCAAGTTGGATGATTGTTAATGCAGTTAGTAATCTGTTTGAAGAAATGATAATTCAACCGGAAAAATTAAATGGCTGATTATCCAATTGGGATAATTGTTCATACAATAGTCTGAGCCTTTAAAATGATTATCCAGCCTGATTTTGTGGCTGTGATAATGACTGGGATTTCATTTATCCATGTTGGATAACTGTTAATGTAGTTATTTATCTGTTTGAAGAAATAATTTGGCCTGTTTTTATATCTTATGACAATCTTACAGAATTCTGAATAGTAAATTTACCTATTTGTTTCAGTGTATCTGTTCACGGAGAGTACCCAAATAAGAGTACCCAAATAGGGATTTTCTTTAGTTGAAGCTTTATCAATTATGTTTATTTGCGGAAAAATTAGGTAATGCCAAATACACAATTAACAGCACCTTGTGGTGATTCAAAGCATGAATAGTTTGGGTCCTTTATGGACCTACTTCAGAAAGAGAATGGTGGATTAATAGCTGTGCATTATTTATATAGTGTCTGACAATTATTCACTTTGGCTAATTATCTTATAATTTTTCCAGATAATCTGATATCCATTCTGGATATTCATCCAGTATCTGTTCTGGATTAAATTATCTCAAATATCTGGTGAAATTTTCATCTGTTATGGTATTTCTTCAATTAACAGATTATGCATGTATATAATACAGTTATCACATGATTTGTGTGTTTTAACATTACCTACCTTTCATTAATCAAGGTCAACACTCCTTTCATTGTCTGAACATCTTAATATATTGTCAATTCACATTAATATTTAATTTATAGTAACAGTTTACTTTACCAAGGAAATATCTACAACTTTCATTAAAAATTAAATGCTTTTTGATTGGTTTATGGGAGATCTCATATCAATAATTGATTGGGAAATTCCCTGAAAATCACCTAACAATAATAAGTTGGTCAATGAGCTGCAATGATGCCATTCCTATCTACACAAAGAGGTTTTAATGAAATGTTTCTCAAATCTAAGAATTTGATGGTTTCGATTCATTGCAAGAGATCACAGAGGAAAATGACTAAAATAACAATAAAAAGATGTACCTATTTATTTCCGCTGACCTTCCTGCACAAGTTTTATGGTAATTTTTTAGGGACGTCTCATTAAACAATAACATAGTGAATTGAAGTCATGACTAGAACATAGAACACCTTTAAAATTACAAATCTCTATATATGTAATTCTTTATTAAAATAAACAGGTAAAAAATTAGATAATATGCAATAACAGATAACGTGATCATATTGTGAGAAAAATAAAAGAAGAATGTGTCTGAGGAAACGAATGCCCTGCTCAAGCTTTGCAATTTTTCAAGTTAAAAAGGGGCATGACTTTAGAACTGTAAATGACATACTGCCAAAATTTAAACTCTTGTTAGTTTGTTGTGTTTCTTAGCATTGCGTATGAGTTTGATAAAGTTGGATGAGGAAAACTAAAGTTAGAGTGCGGAAACGAAATTTTTTTACAATTTTCCAAGTTATGAAAGGGCATAACACTAGAACAGTAAATGACTCACTGCCAAAATTCAAACTCTGTCTGCAAGTTTTGGTTTTTAGTATTGTGTACGAGTTTCATAAAATTTGGGTCAAGAAAACTTAAGTTAGAGTACGGAAACAAAAATGGGAGGGACGGAAGGACGGAAAGAGGGATAGTCAAGGGTAACACTTAATGTACACATTGCCTACGACCGGGGCATAAAAATCGTTAGAATTCATTGATTTGAAAATTGATTCCTTTATTTGATTGAATATTTGAATACAAAAAAAAATAGTCTGCACAGCACTTAAGCCGTTAGTAATATATATAGCATAATGAGGGTTAAAAATCAGAACATGGCTTCCCTAAGAATCAAAGTGATGGAAATCATTATGGAAAGATTGGAAGAATAGTTTGAATAATTTCAAATCATTTTACGGTATGATGTGTACAAAAAAGCACTTTTGCTGACAATTGCATTAACTGCAGGTCTTTAGAAGGATAAGCATCTTTTTCAGTAGATAAAATGAGCTAAATGTGAATCAATGATAGCAGGTCTCTTAATTTGCACAACAATTTCATTTAAATTGCAATTCCATATCTAAAACAAATAATGTTCTCTATTACATGTTTCATCTTTAGAAACAGAAGAAATTTCCAAATAAAAATTCTTCTTATGAAGTTTATCAATTATCCGTGTAGAACATGGGACCAACAGATAGACCTGAAACTAAGATTAGATCTTTATTGTCTCCAAAATTTAATCTAAAAAGGTTGTTTTGGGGGCATTTTATAAGTTGAATCATATTAGGTATACTATTTTTCTCCTTTAAGAATTACTTATTGATTATGAAAACAATTATCATGATTAAATGACACTGAAGATTAAAAGTTGTAGAGTGTATTTTAATTCAATTTATAATTTAATATTTTCCGATAAAGGGCAAATGTATTTTTTCAATATAAAACAAATTAAAAAACTTAGTTTTTTGAAATGGGGGTTCATTCTTAATTGCAAAAATACACTTCCTGTATTCAATACTTCAATACCTTTTTTTGATATGTAAATTTCATATTTTGTCTTTTCTCTTGTTAATCCTTAATCATTTATCTTTCAGACATAATTTATAGAATCACTTTATGTAGTGTAGATCAAAAGTAATAGGCAATGAATAAATCTATCATTTCTATGTATCAAACATCTAATATATACATTTGTGTATTCAATAATGAGGTAAAGTATTTGTTTATTGAGATGTATAATGGAGGTTCTGTTTAGTTATGTAAGACTGAGGGTGATTTGTAATTTGGTTAATATGATTGACATTTAAGGGGGTGAGGCCTTGTAATTAAGGCCCCACCTTGTCTCTGATTGTTTTAATAGTGATCATGACAGTTGTCAATCATACTGGTATTGTATCATAACTCTTACTTAATTAAAATGACAAAACTAGCCTGCAAATTGACAAATCTTTAAGACATACATACTTGAATGAACAAAGATGTAACCCAATTTTTCACAATTAATATGTGCATATGTACACTGATATGAGAAGTATAGGGACCTGAATTTCAGTACATGTATGCATTTTGTAGATTTAGTAGCTAACCTGTCCTACTTCTTGTTTGGGAGGCCGGTGCCTTAGGAAAGACTTGGAACAATAGTTCCAATCTCTTTCCAAAAATGATGATACCTGACTTACAACCAAATTATTTTTTTAAATTACCTTCAAAACACATTTCTTCTTTGCAATCTTTGATTAAATGATCATAAACCAATCTGTTGTCACAGGTTTTCTTTGGACAAATTGATATACATGGGTTGTATTTTTGGCATGTTTCACACTGTATGGCTGAAGATAGAAAGCAATAAAATAATATTACAAAGCAATATGCTTCAGAAAAGTAAGGTTAATATTTGACTATTAAATAATTTACTTGATTTTACATTTTCAAAACTGTAAGTCTGATATTTGTCTTAGAGATAATGGATTTACATTGTATATCACACTTAATAAGAATAAAACAGATTTATTCCAACTTACGACAGAAAGCATCAGTTCTCCAACTAACTGGAACACCTGCAATCGCACATTCATGGGCATAAGCTGCAACAGCTGTACACAAACATTCACAATCTCCTCCAAGGTCACAGGCACATGCATCAAACACACATTTTTCAAGGTATTTCTGGTATGGTACTACATGATGACAGGTTTCAAAAAGTTTGGATGAGATTATTCCACATTTCCTTTGTGCCCAGGGTTTACGATGTGGAGTCTGTACACAGGTGTCTGTCACATTGTTTGGAGGGCCACAGTAATCATGCACCTTCCAGCTGTCACCAAACTTGTTGGCTTTGATGGCTGGAGGTCCACCTTGAGGCATTGTAAAATCATTTTTCTGATCTGCATCAAAATTACCACAAAGACCCTCAACCTGCAAGAGATGAACCATTCTATATTGCCCAATGGCTATAATAAAGCTTTACACAAACAACATTCTATCTTTAAGGCCAGTGGTATAGCTACTGGATTACTAATTGTGAGCAGGGGGTCTGGAGGCAGCAGCCCCCAGAAGCTGAACGATTATTGTAAAATTCTTATCAAAGATTAAAAAAATATTTGTAAGCACATCCGTATAATGCTACACTGCAGCTACGCCAATGACGACTTTTAATAACTTTGGGTCAAAGTATAGAACTTAATCATTCAAACTTTCATTCATGTTTGAGTTAAAATACAAAACTTCCAAAATGTTCCCCTTTCTCCTTTCTTTATATTTCTTTCTGAATCCCTTAAGGGCATGCGATACAGTGATTTTTTTAGGAAAATTTGTATACAAGCTATTTTTCACCTTGTTAATTCAAATAAATAATAAAAAATATACCTTCATGTGGTACTTTTAGAGATAAATAGGGTCGAAATTTTAGACATTTACTCAAAATTTCAGTTTCTTAGACATTTCTATCCTTTGGACAGACATACCTTACTTTTTTTGCTGTATATTTATCTAATTTTAAAACATTTCATTGGTGATTTGTTCATAAATACTTGTACAAATATTCTTCATACATAATCAAGCCAAATGTTATAGAAACAAGAGGCTCTCAAGAGCCTGAATCGCTCACCTGTAATTTTTTTGCTTAAATGTTTCATCAATGATTATTTTTGCTTCTCAATATATATAAATCATTGTTAATGAGTGGTTTAAAAATGCCATTTAAAGTTTCTTTGTATCTGTCATATTTTCTTCAAAAGCAAAAAAATGCATTTTACCCCTATGTTCCATTTCAGCCATAGTGGCTATGTTTCTTGACATAAAAGGAAATAAAATACAAAATTTATACTAGATACTCTGAAACTCATTCAGCCCAAATTTGGCTGAAATTGATTCAGCAGTTTCAAAGAAGAAGATTTTTTAAAGTAAGCAAACTAGATGAACAAATTGTGAAAAATTATCTTTAAAGGGCAATAACTCCTTAAGGGGTCAATTGACATTTTGGTCATATAAACTTATTTGTAGATCTTACTTTGCTGAACATTTTTGCTGTTTACAGTTTATCTTTATCTATAATAATATTCAAGATAATAACCGGAAACTGCAAAATTTCCTGAAAATCATCAATTCAGGGGCAATAACCTAAAAATCAGATACCCGATTTGGCTGATAGTTTCAGAGCAGGTTGACCTTGACCTAATGAATACTTTAACTTCTTGTCTGATTTGCTCTAAATGCTTTAGTTTTTGAGACATAAGTCAAAAACTGCATTTTGGTGTAATACCACCAAATCATAGTACGTCACATCCGGTTGCATACGAAAATAGGTCGAAAAAAAATATTCCCTTGAATTTGACAGTTGTAGGTAATTGATCCTACATCTCATTGCAGTAAAACATTTCTGGGTCATAAAGATATATCTTGGGTATTTCAAAGCACCATTTTTTTTTTTATTTGGGGTTTCTATAGAATATTTTGGAAACTTGAGGTTACATGGTTACTAAAGCTTGTACACAGGTTAAAAAAGGGGGAAAATTTGATTGGTTTACTTCCAGTGATAGTTATTTTCTTATATGCAATGAAATGTTATGTGAAACTTTTTCTATAGTACTGGACAGGATAAAACTTTTCTCATGCCAAGTATTTCTTCATTTGAAACAAAGATAAATTCTGCACAATTTTTTGAAAAGTGCAAATTTAACAAAGACTAATAGGGGAAAATCAATGGTGGTATTACACCTTTTACCCTATGTTCTATTTTTAGCCATGGCGGCCATGTTTTCTGAGGTAACAGAAAATAAAACACAAACTTTATTCAAGATACCCTAAGGATCATTCAGCCTAAGTTTTGTTGGAATTGGTTCAGTAGTTTCAGAGGAGAAGATTTTTTAAAGTTAGAAAACATGATAAACAAATTGTGAAAAATTGTCCTAAAAGGGCAATAACTCCTTAAGGGGGTCAATTGAAATTTTTGGTCATGTAAAACTTATTTGTAGATCTTACTTTGCTGAACATTTTTGCAGATTACAGTTTATCTTTAACTATAATAATATTCAAGATAATAACCAAAAACTGCAAGTTTTCCTTAAAATTACCAATTTAGTGGCAGCAACCCAACAATGGGTTGTTAGATTCATCTGAAAATTTCAGGGCTGAAAGAACTACTTGACCTAATGAACACTTTTACCCAATTTCAGATTTGCTCTAAATGCTTTAGTTTTTGAAATTTAAGCCAGAACCTGCATTTTACCCCTATGTTCTATTTTAAGCCATGGCGGCCATGTTTTTTTATGAAATAGAAAATAAAACACAAACTTTATTCTAAGGATCATTCAGCTTAAGCTTAGTTGGAATTAGTTCAATAGTTTCAGAGGACAAGATCTTTGAAATAGTTTACACCGGAAGGACGAGGGAAGACGGACGACGGACGCCAAGTGATGGCAAAATCTCAAATTTCCTTCGGAAAGGTGAGCTAAAAAGGAGGGATCCATGTACTTGTTTTCAAGCTAATGATTATAATCAGTCAAAATGCATATTTTCCTGTCACAGTTTGAAGTTGCAAAAAATTACGTTGTATATCTAATGTGTATTATATGTAATTTAATAATGAAACATAACACAGGTTTTGAAAAGATGAAGAAATTTTTGTTTTCCACCAAAATAAAATCCTAAATTTTAAGCTATAAAGCAAAGTTCATCTTACTTTTCCTTTATGTTCAGTTTTGAGTTTGATGTAAACTCGTGTTCCTTTGTCCCAGACAAGTGTAATACCAGTATTTGTTGTCACCATAATGGATTCACCTACTTCTGTTACATTAAATGGTGATTCAGATTCCACAGATATAGGTTTCCCTTTGATTAACTGAATTGAGTAGTAATTTTTTGTACCTGCAAAATGTTTTACAAAGCTGAGTTGATATTCATTACTACAAAGACCACTCTATGTTCATGTTTTTTCCAAGTGTTTACTAATATAACAGGATCTAACTGTTAGCTTTCGCAATCTCAGTCGAAAGTGACAAACCTTAATTCACGCGATTTAAAATTATCTTAGCTTAAAAAAAGGTTTGCAAATAAAAGAAAATAACATTCAATACTGATAGTCTCAAGTTTCAAATAACTTTCTAAACATTGGTATGTTCTTATTCCAGTCACTGCTACTGATTGAAATTAAACAAACATAACTATTTGACCTTGTACTTTCTGCATAGAAAGTTTGTATTCACACCACATATCACTGTATTGCAGAAATTTTAGATTTTCGAAAAACAATTTCATGGAAAATGTTTAACTTAAATTTGATTCTAAAATATTTTCATTGCAGTTATAGATTTCATGCAATTCTTTAGTTTCAAAATTTTAGCACACTAAAGTTCATTTTTTAATGAAATGTCATCATGTTTTTAATTGTAAATTTTACAAGTCAGACAGGATATAAGTATTCTAAAACATTATTTTGATTTAGGGCTGTTCCATAATCAAATAAGTGTGAAGGCCAGGAGGCACTTTTTTTTAAACAGAACTACCCAATATACATTTGTGTTTGTTATTCTTGTTTATTCTTAAAGATTTTTTAAAGAAACAATAGTTACCAAATATTTATTTTATGTGACCACCTGCAATCATTTCTTGAACAGCAAATCATTTCACAAAAGTGTTTTGTCATGTCAGAAAATTTACATTGTATTAAGGCGGTTCTCGATCAACAATCACACAATATTATGATAGCAAGTTAAGGTGGTAAAATTTTCTCTCGTAACATTTTGCCATGATATTTTCCATCATAAATACAATTAAAATTAATAAAATATGGTAATCAGATAGCTCACTCAAAGCTTTATTCAATTTTTGAACATTTGCAGAACAACGCTTTACTAAAATATCAACTGTACCTGGCTCCCCAATGCTGAAAGTGATAGACTTGGTACAAGTCACTCCACTGGTTCCACATGGAACATTGTTTTCTGTTATCAGAAACTTGTGTGGATTTTGATCAGTGGATTTAGCTAGTACATAGTCACAACTGCCTTGGAATTCATACTCCCTACCATCAAATGTGTGGTAATGGGAATCCCCTACAGCACTACAAATGGCTGGACAATCTTTGTTGGTACAATCCCAGTTTTGACCACGACAGGTGCTGTTTAAATACATTAACTAAAAATCAAATACTTCATTCCAACCCAATCTTGATTCTCTTAGAAAAGGGGGGTGCAGGGTAGGGGGGTGGGAGCAAAATTCAAAAAATAAAAAAATTATCAAAATTTCATTTCTCTTTTAATATTTGCAAAATATTGAAGAACATCAAAAATCTGTATTTACAATACTAGAATATACCTCACAGTATTGTAAACTGCTTGAACAAGAGCGCAAAAAATCAGGTTTACACTATTCCACTCATCAAAGTCTTCAAGAATTAAAAAAAAAATTGGACTATAATGGCTTGTGTGATTTTAATTATGATAGAACAAATGCCATTTGGTATAGATATATATATACTTGTCTATTTCTATGACTATGTATGTTGCCCTCAAGGATTTTTTTCTGGTTTTATTGTGATTTAGGGTTGTTCTATCATGATATATACACTCTTTTAATTCACATAACATGGCAGCAGTTCATTACACTATAATTATCAAACTGATCATTTTCACATGAGTAAAATTTTCACTATCCATTACAGCTGATCTATTTGAGTGTGTACTTTGTGCATAAAAGTTAAGTTTGCTTGTTTTGGGGGAACCATGAATTTTTTTATCATTTATAATAATGATACAAAGAAACTGGTCAAATGAGTTTTTCAGTCATCATTTGGTTACCGCCTGAACAAAATATTCCGACTAGAATCAGCACCGAATCTTGCAGGAATTATGTTAGAATTACTACTAGGAAAGTGTTCATATTCTAGCCAGAATGTAGTAGGAATTCGCCTGGAAAATAGCTGAAAACTTTAAATTAGCAGGAATTTTTAGTAGGAATATTATGGTTTCTACCAGGAATATTCAAATTAGCAGGAATAAATTGGCAGGAAAACAAGATTTTGACCAGACAATTTCAATATTTCCCTGTTAATTATTATTGTGTTCCCAACAATCTTTGCCCTCCAAATTTTGAATTTGTGACCTGTAACTTGGTTGCTTATATATTACAGCAATATTAGTGTGTTTAGCATTTTGGAATCCAGTTTATGATAATTAAATACAAATGAAGACCAGTTCAGATAATAATACTGCTACAATAAGAAAGATTCCTAGATATGTATGACACCAATCATTGCAGAACTCCAAATAGCGCTAAGGTTTTTGTTCTGTGTAGACACTCAATATGTTTTTTGTAAAGTTTTGATAAAAACAAAGTGAAATTAAACTGAAGAATTCTTTTTGTTTGATTTCAGGCTTCACATATAAGCTCAGTTCTAAATAAAATTTCATAGAGTTAAAAAAAATCTGACAATTCAAATTGTAATTGAACAATTTACCATTCATTACAATCCATCTGGATCTTCTGCCCTTCAAAGTAAGCTTTCCCTCCATGATAACATGGACAGGCTGATGGCTTGACACACTGTTTTCCTTCCAAAACATATTCATCCATACATTTACATCCTGCAGTACAGCTTGTTGGCGCAGGACATGTTGTAGTGGTGTCATGCATGTTCTGACAGGTAACAGGACATTCTGGCAAGCATTTGGTGTATTCCTGGAACTGTTTAGCATCACAGATATCTTGCACAACTGGCATGAATGGATTTACAGTTGGTGGAGGTTGAGTTCCATTTCCAATGACAGTTACTGTCACAGCTTTGATGGTTGGGATGACTGTACATTCCCATCTGGAATCTCTACAAGTGCTATAAGGATAACATACAAGTATGAGATATCTATTTACTATATTTTAAATGCTCATTCTTGCAATTCAAAGATTCATTCACGGATGACAAAATAGGCATTTTATTAATGATACATAATATTTTTTTTTTTTTCATTTACAGATACTGTGAAAGTACTTATATTCGTGGGGTACCAATTTTTGTGGTTATCATGGATGGCTTTATCCATGAATTTAAGTGTCCAAGGAAATCTAACAACTGTTAAGACTGGAAAGATCCCCATGCAGGTTTGACTACATGCATAGGGCCATACATGGAATATCAGCAAACACACTATGAACTATGTTTACAACTTCAGACAGGGTTTTACCCATTTAATCATTAATAAAATAACAGAGTTCCAATGTCCCCCGTGTTGCACTTATTTCATCTATCAAAGGTACAAGGGCAATAACAAAACAAAAAAAAAACACTTTTTTTTTGGTTCTTTGAAACAATTTATAAATATCTTAGAGAAATGAAGGCTTGAGAGCAAATGCAATACAATTTCAGTTATAATTAATTTTTCCAAGGGCATAACTCGTTAAAAATATTTGATCAGCACTTATTTTCGAAAGTGTCAAAGACATTGCTGATATAAACCTATGATATAAGTTTCGTAAAATTCTGACAAGAATTGTACACATGACAGCGCTAACAATGCAATTTTCCATATAATCAATATTTCCAAGGGACATAACTCTTTAAGAAACAATTGATCGGCACTGATTTTCAAATTTGTTTGAGACATTGCTAATATAAACCCATGATATAAGTTTCATAAAAATCTGGCAAGAATTGTACACATGAGAGTGCTAACGATGCAATTTTCCATATAATCAATATTTTCAAGGGGCATAACTCTTTTAAAAATAATTGATTGGCACTGATTTTCGAACTTGTCCAGACATTGCTAATATAAACTTATGATATAAGTTTCATAATGAAATGCTTCGCTGAGCGCAGCCAGATACGACCACAGAGGTCTAAGCCTGAACAGTTGGGGTAGGTTTGGACACAATATTCAAGCTTGATACTGTCTGAATTTGGATTGTGATCAAATTTTTGACATAATATAGGTTTCTGACACAAAATAAATGTGGTCAAAGATCTTAAAAATTTGAAATGGGACATTTAATCTACCTAGAATGGTCTGATATCCAAAATCTAACAACATGGTTAGATTCAGCATATAAAAAAACACCAAAAATTTAATTTTAGTTGAAATCAAACAAAGTTTAATTTTAGACCCTTCAAACCTTAATATGGACTAATTTGAAAATTTCTTGCTATTGCACAATACTGTATAATTAAAGATTTCTTGCTATTGCACAATACTTTGTTGTTGCGCAATACTATGCTATTGCGCAATACTGTGTAATTGAAGATTTCTTGCGATTGTGCAATACTGTGCAATTGAAGATTTCTTGCTATTGCGCAATATTGTGCAATTGAAGATTTCTTGCTATTGCCCAATACTGAGGTATTGAACAATACTGTGCTATTGCGCAATACTGTGCAATTGAAGATTTCTTGCTATTGCGCAATACTGTGCAATTGACGATTTCTTGCTATTGCGCAATAATGTGCAATCATTTGAAATTTCAAAAATTTTGAAGAAAAAAAATATGAACCCCCCAAAAAAATTGGAAAAAAAATCCCTCCAAACTTTTTGAACCCCCTCTCCCTTGGAGAAATTACCCCTAAATTAATCCCAGCCTTCCTTTTGTGGTATGGAACCTTGTAGTACAATTTTAGACAGATCCATACACTTAAACTCAAGTTACTGTCTGGAAACTAGAAAAATGCTTGTTTTTGGCCTCTTTTTTGCCCCTAATTCCTGAACTGTTGGGCAATTACCCCCAAACTCAATCCCAGCCTTCCCTTTGTGATATGGAACCTTGTGGTACAATTTCTGAGGGATCTATACACTAACACACAAGTTATTGTCCAGAAACTACAAAAATGCTTGTTTTTGGCCCCTTTTTGGCCCATAATTCCTAAACTGTTGGTACCATAACCCCCAAAATTAATCCCAACCTTCCTGTTGTGGTATTGAACCTTCTGGTAAAATTTCTTAGAGATCCATTCACTTAAACTAAAGTTATTGTCCTGAAACCAAATGTGTCTTGGACGATGCCGACGACGACACCATAGCATTATACGACGCAAAAAATTTTTTGCGGTCATATTAAAATCTGGCAAGAATTGTACACATGAGAGCGCTAACGATGCAATATGGATTCCATATAATAAATATAATTAATGTTTCCAAGGGGCATAACTCTTTTAAAATAATTGATCAGCACTGATTTTCGGAGAACTGTACACATGAGAGCGCTAACAAGACCAGACGGACGGATAGACAGATGCCCGGTATTCCTACTACTACCAAACAAACCATATTTTATCATCCATTTTTGTGAGGAATCCAGCTGGATACTCATTTCCACTGAATAAACATGGGCATTCTGCTATTGCTATACATTCTCCTTCATCATTTAGTGTGTGATTGGCAGGACAGCCACATCCTTCAGCACATTCTTTAGACTGCACACAGTATTGATCTTGTGCAATGTTACTGCAGGTACGAACACATTCGTTAGGACACACCTGGTAAACCTGTCCACCATTGCATGGGATTTCTAACAATTTTAAATAACAACAATATCATTTGTTGAAGAATTGGTAATAAGTTGATAAACTAAGATAGAAGACCCCTGAAATATTAGGCAATACACAATATGTAAAAGGAACAGCAATACATTGCTGTTCTGCGTCTTGGCAAGAGCTAACACACAACAGTTGAATTTAGACAGCCCCCCAGTGCAGACTTCACCAATAGTATTCAATAATAACAATTTAATGTCAATCTTGGTCTCTTCTGGCATGTTCAAACCAGGAAAACAGAAAAAAGAAATTAAAAAGTGAAGAAAAAAAATGGAGTAATAAACTCAAAATAAGAAGAACTATATCTGTAGACAACAAAAACTTAAGGGCAAAATTTTCAAGCCATGGTTGTCATCTGCCTTGAGTTTTTGGTCTGCCATTTTGATTGAATCCCAAGATATTGATATGTGTCTGCCAATTGCTTGAAAGAAATGTAAATTACAATCAAATAATCCATATCACAGGAAACACCAATTTCCTTAACAACCCAAATTAAAAAATTTCTGGATTCACTTGTGATTTTTAATTTTGAAACATAACCCTTAAAGCTTAATTCTTATCAGAAATCTGCAAAAATAATACAAGTACAAGTAAACAGCTCTATAACATATTTAAAAAAAAAATTGAATGACAATGTTAACTAACTTTGTGTTTGTAGTTTGATTTATTATTAAATTGTGACCTTAATTTACATTTCCTGCTATCCTGACAGGCAAAGTACTTTCTAGGGACAGCAAGGCAAAATTTACTCACTTAGATATTCAAAGGGTACCAGCTGAACTTAATTTGCACATGAATGGGAACCATACAAATGATGTGATAAATAAAAGGTGTAAAGGAAGATATGTTGAAACAGATAAGTGAAGATGTAAGTGCCCTATTAGTAGAGTGCAGTTTTTGTGTTGTCAATAATATGTATGGTATTTTTGTTACAAATTATTCTCTTTTCTTTTAATTTGCCACATTCACAAGTGCAAATGCTGCCATAAATTTTATGCTATTTGGAAGTTATTTGTGGTAAATATTGTAAGATTTAATAGTAAAACTTCATGAATGTGTTAGTATTATAAAACATTAGACTCTCCATTAAATTCAACATCTGACATTAACAATACTAAAACAATACTTTTCAATACCTGGTCACTATTTCTACAGAAATCCATATAATGATATCAAACAGCTATCAAAATTCCAATCTGGATAGTGTTTGTAAAACTTAAGTTCATTCTTGACTTACGGCATTCTGGAATATGGTTTCTCCACAAGACCTGAACACCCATAGCTGCACACTGTTTGGCATACTCTCCAATCATTGGGCACAAACAGTCTCTAAGGTTCTCTGTACAGGCACACATGTCATACATACAATCTTCATGGAAACTGGTTGCATCAACTTTGCTATGACATGCTTTATAAAACAAAAATAAAAATTTATAACAGATCATATGCAAATGGCACCTGTCCAATAAGCATGTACACTGCTCAATTTGCTATAAACAAACATTATGATTTTGGTTTATTAGCAAAAGTTGCCAAACTCACACATTTTTAAACTGTTACGCTCATTGTTTTCATCACTCATAGTGCACACAATTTCGTGTTTTTACACACAATACACACATTCTCACACATTTTTTTCAATGGTTATAATATTGCTTTTTTGGTTTATTGTTTCAAAATATTCTGTTTTTTCATCGTAATTAATAATACAGCTTTTCGGTTTTTGCCTAGACCTGTAGTTACAGCAGACTGGTAGATTTGTCTTAAAGAGTCCAGGGCAAAAAGGAAATGGCACTATTTTATCTAATCAAACGCTTGAGAATCAATTGGAGATTAAGTGATTAAAAGAAAATGATCAAGGGACAAATAAGTTATCCTATATATCTATATTAGTTTTATCACTCTCAGTCACAACTATTAAGTGCTGTTAATTTCTTGCACGCTTTGTTACTCACTTATCTACATTTATTTCAATCTTCTTCCAAAAGTCATAAAAATTAAACATTCAAAAAGTCCAAATTACTTTAAACTTGTTGTTGTTCACTATCAGCATCAGTCAAGCACATTTCACCCTTCCTTCCAGGTGTAAACAATACCCTTATTTAAAAGATTCTGTCCATTAAGATACTCTTTTCATACTTTACTGCAGAGCAAAGTTTCCCATAGCATTTGCTATCACGTAAAGGAGTATGGCCATTACAGCCTTAAATTGGCTCCAAAATTGAAACTAATCAAACTTATAAATAAATACTATATCTAAAAACCTATATTTTCGATCTTAAATATGCAAATTTAGATAAACTAAACACTTGTTGTCTGTTGTTTGTTTTAACAATGTAATCAGCTTTAAAAGGATGATATTTCACAAGTTTTTAGCCAAATTGCCTGTTTTTATGCATTTGTGAGGTCTGTTTCCTTCCAAAAAACAATTAGCCCTGCACGCTTTTCCACCAAATAAAATTGTTCTAAAAAGTTGAATATGGGTTAGATACACATCTTACAGTGTTTATCCTAAAGGCATCCTTTCACAACACCAATTGCTTAAATATTTTACCAAATTGCAGTTTGAACTCATCTCTACAAACTGATCAAATGGTAAATCAGTTTAGCTCATAGCTAGTGAAAAGGTGTTAGTATGAAGCAAGTGCAGTGTAATTACTAGAGGCTCTAAAGAGCCCATGTCGCTCACCTGCATCTTCAACAATGGACACTTTTTAGTAAAAATCATCATTAAACAGGAAGAACTATTTTAAGAGTTAACTGACAAGTTCAGTCATGTTGACATATTTGAAGATCTCATCTGCTGATCATTTTTCCATTTTAAAGTTTCTATTTATATTTTTACAGTTTTTAAGATAATAGGCAAAATGTGCAAAATAAAATCGTAAAAATTATCATTAAAGGGCAATAACTCCTACAAAGAGTAGACTGAAGATTTCAACTATTATGGCTTGTTTGTAGATCTTGTCTTGCTGATCATTTTTTTCTATTTAAAGTTTCTATCTGTCTTTTTTTTTAGTTTTCAAGATAATAGACAAAAATGCAAAAAAATGGGAAAAATTGTCATTAAAGGGCAGTAACTTCAATACGTAGTCGACTAACGATTTTGGTCAGTTAAATTATTTGTAGATCTTGTCTTGATGATTTTTCCTCTTTTAAGTTTCTATCTATCTATTATAAGTTTTTAAGATATTCGGCAAAAACTCAAAAAAATGCTTGTTTTTGGCCCCTAATTCCTAAACTGTTGGTACCATAACAATTTCAGAGAGATCCATACACTTGAACACAAGTTATTGTCTGGAAACTAGAAAAATGCTTATTTTTGGCCCCTTTTTGGCCCCTTTATTCATAAACAATTTAGGGCAATTACCCCCAAACTCAATTCCAGCTTTCCCTTTGTGATATGGAACCTTGTAGTACAATTTCATAAAGATCCATACACTTACACACAAGTTATTGTCATGAAACTAGAAAAATGCTTGTTTTTTGCCTCTTTTTTGGCCCCTAATTCCTAAAATTTTGAGACAATTACCCCCAAAATCAATCCCAGCATTCCCTTTGTGATATGGAACCTTGTGGTACAATGTCAGAGAGATCCATACACTAACACACAAGTTATTGTCTGGAAGTTACAAAAATGCTTATTTTTGGCCCCTTTTTGACCCCTAATTCATTAAATGTTGGTACCATAACCCCCAAAATCAATCCCAACCTTCCTTTTGTGGTATTGAACCTTATGGTAAAATTTCATAGAGATCCATTCACTTAAACTAAAGTAATTGTGTGAAAACCAATGTGTCTTCGGATGACGACGACAATGACGCCGACGCCAACGTCATACCAATATACAACCGCAAAAATTTTTGGTCGTATAAAAACACAAAACATTGGATAAATTTGTCATTAAAGGGCAATAACTCCTATAAGAAGTAGTCTGACAGTTTTTAAGGCAACAAACATCATGTAGATCTCATCATTCTGAACATTTTTGCTCCTGTCAGATTTTCTCCATTCAAAGCAGTTTTCAAGATAATAGACAAAACTTGCATTTTACCCCTATGTTCTATTTTTAGCCATGTTGGTTGATGGTGGGATCATCGGATACATTTTCTTAAACTAGATACCCCAATGATGCTTGTGTCCAAGTTTGGTAAGATTTAGCCCAGTAGTTTCAGAGAAGATTTTTGTAAAAGTTAACAGACGAAGACAACGCACAACGATGGACGATACTGGATGACGGACGCCAAGTGATGAGGAAAGCTCACTTGGCCCTATGGGCCAGGTGAGCTAAAAATGATACTTACAATCCTATAAGATTTATTTTCCACATCTGTCATTCAAATTATAAAGATGTGTATTTTATTTTTTATAGTTTTGTATTGCTATGTAATTTTCAAGTCTAAATTTTTCAAACTTTTCCTTTTAGAATATTTTCTATTTAACAGGTCAACTTGAATTAAAACATGTAATATTCATTAAAAGTAGTGTTGTTAAATCGAACAGTTTTGCCTAACCGGTTGCTTGTATAATCTTTTGAATGAATAACCGGCTCACCAGTAGTTAAGTTGTTGTTTAAAAGTCTTATCTATAGTACCCTACAAATGTACATTTTTATGATACGATAAATTGAAGTGTATCCTTCAGCATTATAAGGCTTGGCTGTGAGCATTCCTGGTGAAGTTTTACTTTTAATAATCCAATACTACCGTATACTAAGACGTTTTAATAACTTCAGATTGAGAAGATGAAAATCTTGATCTCGTCAAATTGAAAATGTCTGAAACTGGTGATTGTTTCATTTTCTCTGATGTCTCAGAAAATGATATGGAGTGTTTCAATTAGAAATGATTAAGCGTGTTACTCGTACCATCCAGTATACATTAATTTCATTCACGTTGATTTGCATTTCACTATTTTTGAGTCTGCATTTTGTTTAAAGTATGCCAAAGACATGAACGATGGAGGTGGCAGATTAAGATGTAGGTCTACACAATATTAAATCAAAAATGAAATAATGAATAAATCGTAAAATTTAATCGGCTTACTGTTCAAAATACATGTATGCTAATTATGTTTACTTAAGATCTTGCCCCGAGCTTGAGAGACAAGTTGTCTTTGTTCTAATTAATTTTATGTTTTTGGGATTAACAATAGCAATCAATATAAATACTGGACAATTGATCTGTCAAATTAATTACCACGACGATCATTTTTAAGTTGTACAAAATTTATTAATGATTTCAATACACATTTATATCAAATCTATTAAAATTGTAAAAAGGTCCGGTTAACCATTTTTCGTTTTTGGTTTTCGATATTCGGTCCTTGACAACACTAATTAAAATATATGTGAAGTAAAAATATGCTGTCAATAAGATTTCATGGGAGATAATCTGTTATAAATCTGACATAAATAAGTGATTGGATTCTTATCTCCCTTTAAAACTTCAAGAAAACATATTCTAGAGAAAAAATATGTCTATGCGTTTTTTAAACATTGATTAATAGACAACTCTGAACTATTTAAAGAAAACTTACATTTTAAAAGAGATAATTTGAAAACTTTAAATTGGACATTATTATAACTACCTATATTCAAAAATTACTATACATGTATTGCCTTTACAATTGGCATACTTGTCAAGAAATACATCTATACAATTTCAATGACAGATGTGGAATTAAAATATTATAGAATTGTAAGTATGAGTTTTTAATACTGGATTTTCTTCAAACTAACCACCTTTTACTAGCTATGAGCAAAACAGTTGCCAGCCTACTGTTGGTCAGTTTGTAGAGATGAAATCAACCAGCAATTTTGGTAAAACATTTTAGCAATTGGTTTTCTGAAGCTAATTAGCTAGTTAGGCTAAGCACAGCAACAGGAAATTATGGCTGTCCTTGCATGTGGCCAATTTCGTTTGAAGCAAAAACTATCAAAATTCAGGCAAAAACTAGTCAAAATTATTATTTTCTTCATTAGACTGTACAATTATGACGTCATAATGACATCACACTAGTTTTAATGTGTCAGAGCTTGTTGAATTTGTTTTTGTAAGATATTTTTACATATTTTGTCTCCAAATTTTTATTTTCACTACTAAAGTTAAACAATGTTAAAGGAGTATGGCCACAAAGGGCTTAATTGTCCCCAGTAATCCAATTTTTTAATACCATATGTAACAAAAGGCTGTCAGATTGACAGCAAACTGGATTTTCATGCATGAAAATGATATTTGCAAATCTGAACCCCCAAACGGGATCAAGCAAAAAAAATAAATGAATTTTTGTAGGGTTCAGAAATGGAAAGGCCAAAACCAATCTAAGTATCACTTTTCGCTACTTAAAGGTCTACAACTCAACAACAATAAAAGCTAAAATCGTGAAATCGAACTTGACCTTCATTTAGTCACAGGAAACATTATATCTAAATTTGAAAAGATTTAGTCAAAGGGTTTTCAAGATATTGCACGGACACTGTTTGGCAGCCGACCGCCTGCCACCATACATTGCCAAATTAATAACCGATATTTTCCTTTGAATATCCTGTTAAAAACCTATATTTACAATCTCAAATATGAAAATTAACATGAGCTAGACACTTTGGTTGTCTGCTGTTTGTTTTACAAATGTTGATAGCTTGAAAAGTAAGATATTGCCTGTTCTAATGCTTTTGCAAGGTCTATTTCCTTCTAAAAATAATTAGGCACCCTCTTCGACCAAATAAAATTGATATAAAAAGATGTATATTAGTAGGATACACATCTTAACAAAAAAACTATGGTGGTGCTTGCATGTGGCCAATGTAGTCTGAAGTAAAAACTATTAAAGTTTAGACAAAAATTAGTCAAAATTATGATTTTCTTCATTTGAGTGCACAATTATAACAACATAATTGTTCTGTTGGGGTCAGAGCTTGCTGAATTTGTAAATGCGAGATACTTTGTTATCAAATGTTTAAAAGTTAACTTTGACAGAATTTTAGGGCAAAAATAGACCCTTCATGAACCTTCTCCTTTCACAGAATTTAAGGGCCAATATGTGAAGTATTTTCTGAAAAATTTTCGAAATTTCAACTCATGTTTTCATTTTAACTTTATTGTGTTTGTTAATTATTTATTATTGTGATAGGATTGATTCCTTGAATAGTAAATACTTAGTCAGCCATAAGATGCTGAGCTAGGAAAGTACTTCTTTAGCTCAGTCGGCGCTGCCATGTAACTTTATTAGGCTTTTTTTTAACTTTTTTTATTTGAGCGTCACTGATGAGTTGTACACGAAACACGTGTCTGGCGTATACAATTTTAATCTTGGTATCTATGATGAATTTATTTACAACCACTGGGACGATATCACTGCTGGTGGAGGTTTCCTCCCCTAGGGTATCACAGCCCAGTAATCAGCACTTCCATGGCTGTCAACTGACTCGTATTGTGCAGATTACACACGAGAATTTCCCCCATCACACAGGGTTTTTACATACCCGCTGGGTATTCAAATAACCCGGGATTTCAGAAAATGACCTGTTTTCACCCGTATTTCTGACCGGTATTGTTTCCAGTATTTAGAAGTCAAATATACTTTCAGTTTTCTCTGCTTTTTTCCTTTGAAAAGGTAAACAATTGAAATTAGAATTTGCTTATTTACCGTGCCAATGACAGCTATCAAAACATTACATTTGATTGAAAAGTAACAATTCGAGGATTGTTTGTTAATTGTACCCCAGAAATTTGAAGTCAGTCAAGCTTGACATACAATTCTATGTCCTGATTAAAAGATTTGCAGTTTGCAAATATCAAATATCCTGTAAAAATCATTTTAAAACAATTTGAACCTTTTAATACATTTCTTGTTGGAGAGAATAATTTTGTTATCACTTAAATGTAAAAGCTTTAAATCAAATCCATATGCTCTAGATATACACTAAAGGAAACACACTAACTTCTTTCTATTTATCTTCCTCCTGTGTATAGGAGCAAATTAGCTAAAATTGATTTCTTATTACATGTATAGCAGGAGTTTATGACTTTCATTAATAAAAAGAAGTAAACTAGTGTGAATAAAACAATAAAAGGGCATTGCTTTAGAAAGATATTTAATTAATGATAAATATTTATATACTTAACAAATACAAAAGTGATTATTTTTAGGAAACTCAGTGGTACATGTATATGTTATAGTATATAAAAAAAACTTTCAATACTAAAATTGGACCGAAAAAGTTCGTACACGACCTGAGATTTTCTTCTTCAATGCAGGTCATGACCTACATTTTCAGTTTCAGAGGTTGACAGGTATGGCACTTCTGTGTCAACATGGCTTATCACTTATATGGTCAAACTTATTAATTAACTGTTACCAAACTTTGAATATTTATTAAATACTAAGGATTTTCTACCCCAGGAATAGATTACCTTAGCTGCTTTTGGAATTTTTGATTATCAATGCTCTTTAATTTCGTACTTTATTTGGCCTTTTTTAACTGTTTTGATTCTAGCATCACTGATGAGTCTTTTGTACACGAAACGCAATGTGATTTGCTGATTAAAATCATACTCTCCTGTTACATTATAAATCAAATATCAATTTAAGCAATGCCCTTTAACTGTTTCATTCATACCATTTTTTATTGATGAATTCTATAAACCCCAACTATGATCAGAAATCAGCTATAGCTATAAATGTGCTCCTATACATAGAAGGAAGATAAAGAGAAAGAAGAATTTACTGTTGTTTACATTTTGTTGAGCACATGGATTATAAGAGACAACAAAAATAAATGGTTAAATTTAGTTTAGGGTCTTGTATCGATTCAACAGATATGTATAAAGAGGTTCGAATTGCTTTGAAATGAATCTAATAGGATAATTTATATTTGCAAACGGCAAGTTTTATAAATCAGGACATAAAATTGTATGTCAACCTTTCTGTGGTACAATTAACGAGTTAATTAGCAAATTGATATTACCTTTTAATCAAAAGAGTGTCAAAATTATGTTTTGATAGCTGTAAATCATTTAATTGAAAGCATAGCTGTCAACTGACCCGTATTCTGCGGGTTAAACCCGCGAATATCCCCTTTCACACGGAAATTTTTAAATACCCACTGGGTATTCAAATAACCCGGGATTTCAGAAAATGACCTGTTTTCACCCGTATTTCTGACCGGTATTGTTTCTGGTATTTAGAAGTCAAATATACTTTCAGTTTTCTCAGAGTTTTTCCTTTGAAAAGGTAAACAATTGAATAGTCAAAACTTAGAATTTGCTTATTTACCGTGCCAATGACAGCTATCAAAACATTACATTTGATTGAAAAGTAACAATTCGAGGATTGTTACTTTTCAATCAATAATTGTTAATAAAAAGAAGTAAACTAGTGGGAATAAAACAATAAGAGGGCATTGCTTTAGAAAGATATTTAATTAATGATAAATATTTATATACTTAACAAATATAAAAGTGATTATTTTTAAGAAACTCAGTGGTACATGTATATGTTATAGTATATAAAAAAAAACTCTCAATACTAAAATTGGACTGAAAAGTTTGTACACGTTATGACCTGACATTTTCTTCTTAAATGCAGGTGACGACCTGCATTTTCAGTTTCAGAGGTTGACAGGTATGAATGAGAGCAAATTATCAAACTTCCTGTCTAGGAAAATTTTGAATTTACCATTTTTTAGAGGAAAATATAGCATTTTAGACATTGGAAGTCATTGTAAAATCATACTATATATATACAAAAAACACATTTCCTTTGATATAAAAATACATTATAAGATAAGGCATTAACTGCTTACGTTTGAAGAAATCTTGCAAAATGTAATCACAGTACTGTTTCGCTTGAGTTTTTCTTTGGGTATTATCTTCACAAGGATTACGTGCAGGAATAGTAACTGGAGCACACTGAGGATTGACTCTCATTCTGTTACCAAATTCATTGACATCAGTTTCAATGTCACCCTGTAGAGTTTTGAAGTCATTCTTCTGGTTACTGTCATAGGTACCACACAATCCTTTGGTTTTGTTAAAGAATGATGATGGTGCTGTGATGTAAGCCCTTGTTCTTCCATCCCATAAAACTGTGATACCATTTGATAATTCTGCCTAATATATCATATTGTAAATAATTATGTCTGATTAAAGTACTGGAATTAAATTAATCAACATGTGTATTTAATTTGAACAAAAACAAATCAAACATCTATTCATCAACATAAGATATTGAACCAAAGACAAAATGGATTGAACATGACAGTCTCAGTGTTCTAGGATTTTTATACATATATAACTTTCCAAGGGAAAGTTGGTATCAAAAATTCACTTTCCCACAAGTTTAATGAACTTTCCCGGAATTTTATACTATTTTAAAAATGTTTTCCTAATTTTTTTTATTCCTTTCATCACATACCATGTTTATACATGTAGTTTGATTTGAAATTATGAACTCTATTATCATGATTATTTCCTATGAAATTAATTAGTTTGTCTAAACTAGCTTGTGATTTGTTGATAATTCAATGTTCATCTAGATATACAAAACATTTGATGGAATATATTAATTTTATTTTGAAATATACCAATTTTAGTTTGACACATGTCTATTTGTCCTCTTTTTGGCTCTAGTACAACTGTCTTCCTTGGAAGTGACAAGGAAGGATTGACCCTTTAACCCTTTACATGTCTGGTCCGGATATTAAATCTATTGCCGTTTGCGTTCCGGTTATTAGGTTTTTGCATCTAGATCAGATGGATACTTGACATTGCAGATTTTCCTTGCTTAGCTGGCAAGTGTATTTATGACATTGACTTCGAAATACATGCACTCATTTTTCTCCCCTACACTTTTGAACCCCTGCATGATTTACACCAACAACAACGATCTGGCTTTGAGACTTTGATTGAAATAAAAGAATACAAACGGTTACATCGATCTTTGATCTGTATGAATAGGAAGTTTCTGTAATTTAATTTTACTTGCCCACGGACAACAAAGGTTTAAATTTCCACTTTCCCATGACATAAATCAACTTGCCACGGGTGACGGGAAAGGGGAATTCTAGAACACTCCATGAAATTTAGTAGTTTAAAAACAGTGGTCAAAATAATCAAAGCATATTCTGGACTTGAACAAACTACGCAAATGGGGAAAAAAACCTTTTCACTGCCATGACTGCCTAAGTTTGCAGAGTAAGAAAATCAGTAATGTGTTCAAACATGTCAAATATAACCTCCAACAAAAAGGGTACCATTGCATTTTCTGTATAATGACCCCCAAATCCAGCATCTTAGAATTTGCTTGGTATGTGTGGCTTGGAGCATCTGTGGGTTTTCTTCATTTAAAAGGGGATCAAATCAAGCAACTACAATTGTCACTCACTCTCATTACATCTGGAATAATTTGTTTGATAGAATTTATGACAGCAAAATAGACAAAAAAGTTTGGTATTTTACATTATTAATCATTGATTAATCTAGAATTACCTTCATAAACAATGATGAAACCATGTAAATCTTAATTCCATTTCCCTGGTAAGGTAATTTGTGTATTTCTGTACCATCTACAAATAGCTGGTGATTGTGGTCTAATCTTATTGTATGACCTGGTATATTTATTGCAATGGCTTTAGTACATGATGCCTGACCATGACCACATTTAATGTTCTCTGCAACTATATTGAAATTGTCATCCTTCATCATGTAATAGTGACATACACCCATAAAATTAAATCTTTTGCCATCAAAGGTCATGTAGTGGGGATCACCAGTTGCAGAGCAAGTTGCTTCACATTTTTTCTGTGTACAATGCCATATTCCTCCTGATGTACATGTGCTAAATACAGAAATTCATAAAACATTTTAAATCAGAAAGACTTATAGGTAAAATCAAAAAATATGTACAAAATATAAAGACAATTACTGTATTCAATTCTATAAAAAAAAATTTGTCACAATAACAGACATTAAAGGGTATTAGCTATCAAATTCATGTTCACCAATTTGACTCAAATTCTCATATTTGATTTTTAACGTACTAAAACATATATCCAAATTACATATATAAAACTCATTATTTTGTAAATTTAACAGAGATAACAGAATTTTATATAATTGCAACTTAGACAAAATGAGGAATGTGTCCATGGGACACAGATGATGCCCCCGCTTGTATATTAAGTTATGAAGGGACATTACTTAAGAACGGTAAAAGTGACGCTACCCAAATGCATACTTTGTGGTAATAAGCATTGTGTATAAGTTTCATAACATTTGGTTGAGGCAAACTTAAGAGAACTGAAACGAAAAATTCAGCAATTTTTCCATTTGTAAAGGGGCATAACTCTAGAACGGTAAAAGTGACACCACCAAAATTCAAACTTGATCTGTGTTATGTGGTAGTGAGCATTGCGTAATAGATTCATAACATTTGGTTGAGGTAAACTTAAGAGAACGGAAATGAAAAATTCAGCAATTTTTCCATTTATATAGGGCATTACTCTAGAAAGGTAAAAGAGATACCACCTAAATTCAACCTTGATCTGTGTCTTGTGGTTATAAGCATTGTGAATAAGTTTCAAAACATTTGGTTGAGGCAAACTAAAGTTATAGAACGGAAACCAATTTCGGGACATACGGACGGACATATAGACGGACAAGGGTAAAACATAATGCCCCCTCCGCTATGGCGGGGGCATAAAAATTAAAACTAATCAAATCAGTCTATTAAGGGCACCTATGGAAAAGCAAGTAAATGCCCTTTCTACTGGTGCTCTTTATAAATAGGTTGTTGATTGAACCACATTAATTGTATTTTAGTAACTGTAAGTACTCTGACATATTCTGCAATGCATTCATGTTATTTTTTGTATTTGTTTAATAAATATTGAAATGCTTAATTTGTGTTAAATAAATTGCCCTTCATCATCATTGCAAACTATAAAACAGAATAATATGTAATTGGGTCAAAGTAGGCCTCATGTTTTTAAGCTATCAAATTTATGCCAGAAGTCATGTCAAAAATGAACCTTTATCAACAGTTTAAATGTATAAACTACATGTAATGTCCATATAATCTCCATGGATATGAGATGTGATAATGCTGATACAACTAAATACCAAATATCATTGAATTACCATTAATGGTTCCCCTTAGACTGACCTAATCACAAACTTTAACTTTAAAAATAAGCAAAATTTTAACAGTCATTAGATCATGAGCAGGGCCAAACAATCTCCATATAAATGAGAAATGCCAATGCTAATACAAAAAAAGAATTATCAAAAATACCAAACTCCAAGGAAAATTCAAAAAGGTGAAGTCCATAAAAACTGACAAAATCAAACCTTAGCTATATAAATTTAATCAACCTACAGAACAAATGGAAATTAACTGTCATATTCCTGACTTGGTACAGGTTTTATGCCTACCAAATATCACTGACTTACCATTAATGGTTCCCCTTAAACTGACCTAATCCCAAACACTCCTAAAAAAAAAGACCAGAAACAGCAAGCCTAAGTCTCTCCCCACTGCTTCCTAAAGTCGAGGAAAAAAAATCAAATTATTTTAATGTCCTTGAATTGCAAATTCCTCAAATAAAGATTATGCTACTTTTTATTTTGATACAGAATCATTAACCAGATATTTAAAACTTGATATAAATTACAAATGAATTATATTCAATAAGGGTTACAAGGTTTAAGTCAAAACCAGAGAACACCAGAATTTATTTGTTTGGACATTTTTTGGACAGGTTTTATGTCCATTTTGCCAATATAAATGTTTCCTGAGTTAGGCAAGCCCACTATATAAAGAACAACTAGTGTAGTACATTGGGGGATCTGGGACTGCCTGTTGTATGGAGGTGCCTGTTAAGATAAGTTTGACTGTACTTGGGAAAAATATTTTACATTGGTGTTAGTACCTACCAGCTGTTGCAGTCCTTTGGAATAACATCACCTGCCCGAAATTCTGACCCATCTTCCTTTGTACAGGGACACTGATCATTCATGATGCATTTGCCTTTATGAAGAACCATACCATGGGGACAGAAACAACCATCAATGCATGTACTATCAGTACAGGTTGTGCCAACTGATGTGCAGGTCTTCTGGCAAGCACTTCCACATTCCTGATGAACAAGATTGTTGGGGCAGGATACAGCTTAATATGAAAATGAATAAAAAAAAATATAATAAATGTGATTTATTATGGATAAATTTCATCATTAAAATTGATCAATGATAAGACATATTTTTCAAGATTGGTTGATTGTTTAAGAAATAATTCATGGAAGCCATAGATTTGTTGGAAATTTACACATGGCCCAGGCCATGTGTAAATTTACAACAAATCTATGGCTTCCATGAATTATTTCGATTCTAATAGGACAAATACGGTCATTAAAAAACTGAAGCGAGGGTGGGTATGCCGTGTGTGTGGCTGTTCTTTTTTACTCCCTGTTAGATAAAGCTAAAACATTCTGATAAATCTGTAGCTTGAATGAATTATTTCGTAAACAACCGCTAAAAAAATGTGCTTAATTCTTTTAATTCTCAAACCCAACATTTGCCATTTTTAATTTACATGTTTTTCTCGAAAGCTACCGTCAAATCCAAAACTGACATTTCGTAACTAAGGAGCCGCCATGTTGACTTGCTGAAATCAGTAAAGATGTGAATAATGCAATAAAATAGAAAATAAAACAACACCTACCTCAAAAATTCATTTTAATGTAATATTATACGAATTTCGATGGTTCACGTAATGGAAAAACCTTCAGCTTTAGTGTTTTCATTTGTATGACGTCATGTTTTGAAATGACTTAAATGCGCCAAAAGCATTAATGGACTTTCGCGGAATTTTATTTTATTTTGATTTTGTAGATTTCTCCGAGCTCTTGTGCATTAATTCTTTTTGTTATGCATCCGAATAAGAATAAAAGTTCTGTAGTCTTTTTTCAATGGCAATTTTTAAAACAATAAAATCGGCATAGCGTTTGCAAATAGGTTCCAATACATGTGGATTTACTAGGGAGGTATATTGTAACATCCATTATTGTGTATATCTCTGAGTCTGCGCTAAGTATAGATATATCGAGAATTTTATCACGGTGTTGTTTACAAAGCGAAAGAAGCACGTCATATTAGAATAATTGTTTATATTGTCCAGTGGCAAATATTCCATGCATATCCTGGAAAGGAAAAATTCAAACAATAAGTTAAGTTCTAACATGAATGTTCAAACAGATGAGGAACTGGTAAATCTGAATGTCACCTAAGAAAAGAAGGTAAGTAGAAGCTTAAATGTTTTCTTGAAACAAGTCTTTAAATGTCAGTACAGTTTCTCTCAATCTTCTTAAGTTTTTGTCCAAAACACAAAAAAGGGGAAAATAGTGTTGTTAAAGGGCAATCGTTCCTATAAAGAGTCTACTTACAATTTTGGCAAAACGTAACTTATTTGTAGATCTTGTCTTGCTGATTGTTTTTGCTATTCAAAGTTTGGGCCAGGTGAGCTAAAAAGAGACATTCTCCTAACATAGGACATGGGATTAATGTCCAGATTTTGACCAATACATGACTGCCTATTGCTGTAAATTTCAAATCCAAAATTTTAATTTCTTTCAAAATGGAAATGCAAGGCAGTGGCAGAATGTTTGTTTGGATATTTACCAGTTGCAACTTGATAGCCATTTGCCATTTAGAGTTTAAAACTTACAAATTAACAGCTAGGACTAAAATAACATCATTATGCTAAAATCTGTATGCAATTACACATTTCTAACTTTAGAGCTCTGAAGTACAGACACCAATATTTAATTAGAGTGAAGGATGGAAAGATTTCTTGAAATTTTTAATACTTTGCCAAAATGTAGTCTTTATCATGCTATTTTCAAAAATATAATAAAAAAATGGGTCACAGTGCTTTTTTCAGCCTAAAGGTTGTGCAAAATTGTCAAGAACTTCTTTACTTGCTACAAAAAAATGATTTAATTACTGCAATAATGTAATACGTGTTCCCTATTTGAATTTTGAAACAAGAACAAAACAAATTTGGTAAACTTTTTGTACATTCCTTTATTAAATTAGATTTTCTGATTTATCTTTCCTTTTCTGGCTAAGTTGAAGAAAAAAATGACTATAGCAAAATAAAATCTGTCTTTGTAATAATAAGATAAAACACATCATTTCCTTCATTTAGATGAGAAGTCTTACACATGAATTGCATTATTCTCTCAACATCTGCATATTTCATAAGGAAAAGATTATACCGTTTGTTTTCTGCTACTTTACAATCCTAAATGGAAAAAGACACCCATATACCTTAATTGCTTTTCCTGTACTGATTTTTCCTGTATGTTATTTTATGTAACATTTCTTAGTCAACAAATGGAGATGGAAAAGAAAGGTTGGTAAAAAAAACAATTTAACACAGCAATGTGTTTAAGGGCATACGATCGGTTTTGGTCCCACAGTGAATTTGTGACGAAAGTTTGCATACAAGCTATTTTTCACCAAGTCAATTCAAATATGTAATAAAACATATACTTTCATGTGTTACTTTTAGAGATAAATGGGGTCGAAATTTTAGACATTTACTTGAAATTTCGGTTTCTTAGACATTTCTATCCTTTGGAAAGACATACTTAACTTTTTTGTTTCATAAGATAAACAGAAGTGTTTTTTTGGTAAAAGCATCTGGAATATCTTCTCTACATAATTGTGCTTTGAATTTGTGCAACAATTCTTGGGAAATTATTCATGTTTATCACATTTTATGATTTTAGTCAAAGAACAGCATTTTTTGCTGTATATTTATCTAATTTTTTAAAAATTCATCAGTGATTTGTTCATAAAAATTGGTACAAATAATCTTCATACATAATCAAGCCATATGTCATTTTTAAAAAGAGGGGTCCATGAACTCGTTTTCAATTTAAAGCAGTCTGAATGATAAAAATCAGTCGAAAATGGTCTTTTGGAAAATGTTGTGCTGTATTTAGACCCCTCTACCAAGAAATTTGTTTTGCATGCACACGTATAAAAATTGCGGTTTTTATCCAACGCAATCATAGGTTTGAACGTTGTTTTCAATTTAGACTTGTATATATATATCTAAATTGAAAACAACGTTCAAACCTATGATTGCGTTGGATAAAATATATATAATAAAAGAACAAAGTTTCCATGTCCTCCATGTTGCATATATTTTATCTGTCCAAAGTTCGTTAAAACTTTTTATAAATTTCTTAGAGAAATGAAGACTTGAGAGCAATTTTCCATATAATTAATATTTCCAAGATGCATAACTCAAATAGTTAATCAGCACTGATTTTCCAAATTGTCTGAGACATTATTGATATATATTACTTCTGATATGAATTTGATAAAAATCTGGCAAGAATTATACATGTGAGAGCACTCATTATCCCCGGCTTAGTATATTTCTAGGATTCTGATTGGTTAACGCACGTCATTACAAAACCCATAGCCCCTGGGTGTTGCTAACCCATATCCCCGGAAGTTGCTACCCATTACATCGGGGAATTTCACGCGCGTTTTCCTTAGTTCCATGGTTGTTCCTTATGAAATATCGAATTCTGTAGATTTTCCATGATGTCTGTATAATTAAATATTTAATCCAATAACGATTTTATCTTATTATATCGATTATTTGCACTCATTTTAGTAAATGCATCACTATGCAGCCACATTGTCAATGAATGGTACTACTGACCTAGCTATGCAAATGACCCACGTTGACGTCACACCGTTTATGATGTAACTCTCACAACATTGCGCGCCAAATTCGATCCATTTCAGTTTCTCTGTCTCTAGTTTAAAAACGTCTTATATTTGTCTACCTGTAGGGTTCTACCAAAGGTAGTACCCTACACCCCGTTAAAAATATGTCAAATTCCCAAATTTCAATAAAAGATATTTAAAAAATGAAAAAAACGTTGCTTTCACGTTTAACTTTGTGGTCGAATTTCTTTAAAAATCGCCAGATTTAGACTAAGACCGGGAATAAATTCGTTATCTACGTTCATATCCGTAGATATGGATATTTTAACACCCTTCAGTACCCTGCGCCTCAGGGTGTACTTGGATACTTCAGGGTGTTAAAATATCCATATCTACGGATATGAACGTAGATAACTTATATTATAAGACCAGACGGATGCCGGTTTTTCTATGTCTGCCGCAATGCGCTGTACAGGGGACAAAAATTATTTATTCATATGAAGTGTAACTTTCAATGAGATGTTGACTTATTGATACCTATTAGTTAGTGCAGAATCTTCACAGAAATGGTATCAATCATTTTCCCTTTTAACAGCATCTAGACTTTAATCTATTCATATCAATTTCCTTTTAGAACTTACAACAGAGTTGATTATTTCTCCAATTGAGTATAATTCCCGCTTCTAAACAAGCTCTAGCATATGCCTCCAAACTGCTGCAAGAACATTTACTGAGATCTCCACCACAACAATCAGATTTACAGGCACCTTTAAAGGAGGCAGGATCCACTTTCTAAAATTAACATTAACTTGTTAAATCTAGAAAAGTCACAGAGAAGGAGAAAATATACTGTTAATTTCTGGGAAATTGGTAAAAATAATACATATTTGAAAAATCTAGACAATTGTTGGGCTTACAAGTAAGGGTCCAAAAAAGTTAATATTTAACAGTATACTCCATGATTTGGGCAAACATTACTGAGATAAACATTCCTCAATAAAAATCAACAAATACTGAAGACAGGTCATTTTAATATTTTTTAATCAGTATTTATTTTGAAATAAATTAGTTGTCATGTAAAAGCATTTCATGAAAGAAAACTGGCATTTGGTCTATCCTTCAATATATTAATATCATTCAATGTAACTAAATTACTATTATTGTCTAAGAGTTGTTTGAACCTCCACATGTTTACCATCTGTTTAACTGACATGGAATTATCAGTAAGGAACACACAGACAGCTTACTTTGCTATATAATCAAGCAAACTGTAAATTATCACTAAATGCTCAAGAATAACTGTTTAATTGCTTTGAAAACAAAATTTCATTTACATACTTATTAATGCAAAAAATCCTTATTTGACAGAGGGGGTAGTTTGACATTTAAACGTAATATATAATTCTTTTAACACCTAAACAAAATATGCAATAGCAGTCATTTCCCTTTCATAGCCAATAACTTTTAAAGATTATGGTAGTAGAATTATAATGTTTGAATTTCTTGTGATAAAAATCATATTGTGAGTTCAAAAAATGAATAAATTCTTTATATATACCAATATGTTATCTGACATAAAATGTTTATCCAAAAACAAAAGTGTTAATTCAAATTACAAAAAATTACTAATCTTTCTTTTCCTTAAAATATTGATTTAAAAAAATTCAAGCAATGGCATCAGAAAAGGAAATAGCATACTGGAAAAATGGGACTGCAAGCTTCTAGAAAAAATACTGAAATCCTCCAAACTTATTAAATCTAAAAGTTAATTAGCTAAAGTTGAGACTTATGAACTCAACACTTAATGTTCAAGTACATTAAGATACACTAATATATAATCATGATAATTGAAATAAGTCTTATTTCAAAATCAAATAAAAAAATTGGCATGATTTTATACACTAATACACACTTTTAAAATACCCTACAAGATAATACCCGACTTGTTTGAAAATGTTTGCATATAAGAGTTTTATAGCTATTTTTATTTTGAAAGATGCTTGACAATGAACAAATTGCCAAGTATAATTCAGCATGATCACCTATATGTTTTTTACACAAGAAATTTTGTTTATTGTACATATTTTACTACTCTATTTTTGTTATTGCTTTTGTATTACTTACTGTATGACAAGCTTGAAAAGCTGGATCCATGATTTTATTGCACACTGATTCAGCCTGAGTGGCTTGCATACCAGAACAAGATTTCTGTGGAGCATCCGGGCACACAGCTATAAGAAAAAGATACACATGTGAATAAACTGTATTAAACGATCTTGTTTTTGCTCTTTGAACAGATATGATCTAGAAAACTAAGTAACTTATGATCAGAAAAAAGTTCAATATATTGATGTGCAATTTCAAATTCAAAATGAAATTATTCTCATAAAATATGCAAGTCTTGACTGTCTTGTATAGTCCTGTATATGTCAAAGGAATATCTAGATTAATCAAACAGAAAAGATTCAATCTTTTTATTCCCATTTCTACACACGAAGCTTAAGGTATAATTTTTTTATTCTGAATTCTGATTCTCCCTTTAATTTGAATAATAATAAGACAAAAAACTTACCTGCACCTATTGCTGATTTTTTCCAGGTTGATGCAAAACTTGATGGTGATTTTACAACACTGCCGGTGTCAGTTGTGAAATCATCTCCTTTATTGCCATTATATGTACCACATAAACCTGAAATGCCTCCTTTATGATCGGCTGAAACTGACAAGAATACTGACTGTCTTCCATCCCACCGTATCATAAAGCCAAGAGGGCTTTTCATGACAATATAATGTCCAAGCTTTTCAAAAGTATTGCCATCTCTTGATGTGGGAATAGTCAATGGGAAATTATTGAAATAAACAATGGGACCTGAAGCTCCTTTTCGAAATCTCACAACTGTCTGTCCAATGTAAACATCAATTTCACGTTTGCAAGGTGTATGTGAAGTACATTGTTTATCATTTATTAAGTGGATATGGAATGTGTCACTTTTGCTATCCTTGGCCATAAGATATTCACAATGTCCTTGGAATGAGTATACTGTTCCATCAAATGTTCTATAATGGTCTTGTCCCCAGGCAGCACACATGGCATCTCGTGTTGTGTGTGGATGATCTATAATATTAATTAAAAAACATAATGTCAGTCCCAAAGCAGCATAAAATCGAATGATATTTTACTTGCCTAACCTAAAATAGAAAATTTATAATCATTGGACCCTGAAGTAATATTTAGAAATATACTATTGCTCTTGTAATGTGTTTCTCAGGGCTGGTTGGGGTTATTAAATGCAAGGTTTCATGTTTGGGATAAAGCCACACTGAGCATATTTAACATCCCCAGTAACACGGTTTTTTTTAATCACAATAAGTAACTTGTTGTTGGCTGAATTCCAACTATACTCAGTAAACACTTTTATCCGGTAGCAGCTTTTTCAGTCTATTCACATTTCAGATTCTACCAATAATAATGTTCTCAATTTGAAATACAGGTCCTGTGTCCACGCTTTACTTACTATGATCTGACAATACTCAGCCAATAAAATTTCTGTCCCAAATTTTTGACAATGTGTATCATTAAGACAAAAACTAGAAAATCCTGAAAGTCCCAAAGTAGAAATGAATGTTTTCAAATCCTTGAAAGATATCTTGTAATCGAAGTGTGGACACAGGATCAGTATTTTAATTCTTCAGTAAGCAGCAATTTTTTGCCAATGAAAGATATGCAATCAACAACCAAGAAGACTTTGAAAAAAAACTTCTTTGTCATGATTTTTCTGACATATATAAGAGACATCTTTTATTATTAGGCCTTCCATGTACCAGTAGTTGCAAATTCTAAGAGCCACAGATGTAATCACTGTTAAATCTAATTGCACATGACTTTACATTTACAAAAATTATATACATTTTGACCAGTACTATTTATTAATCATTTCAGCTGAAAAATAATCATTTCAAAGATTTACGAAGTTTTAATTATTTCAAACAGTTAAAAATTTATTATTTTAGTGACATTTTGCTTCACTTTATTTAAGAAAACATTGATTATTAAGATTAATAAATGCCATTTTCGTATCTGCTCTGTTATTATCTGGATATCTTGATATTTCCCAGAGGTCTTTAGTCCAAAGACAAATATTAATCGAGGGATGATTATAAAATAGGGCATGTATAAGGAAAAAACTATTTATAACTTATTAGTGTGTATCAATGAGGTTTTATTTCTTGTGAAATAACTTTTTAAAACACTAGATAAACAACAAGAAAGTTTATTTAAAACTCATTTAACAATAGTGTTGCAGGATTTCTGTAAATTTAAATTGTAACACTATTTCCTAAACTAGGGGCTCTAAAGAGCCTGTGTCGCTCACCTTGGTCTATGTGCATATTCAATAAAGGACACTCTCCGACATTGTAGACAAGAATATAATTCATTACAAAAATCTCTGTTTTGTTGATCTTGTATTGCTGATCATTAAGTCCGTTTAGCTTCTTTCTATCTTCATTAGTTTTTGCTCAAAACACAAACGAGGGTAAAAAATCCACATTGAAGGGCAATCACTCCCATAAAGAGTGACAGACAGCCTACTTACTATATCAGCAAAATTTGACTTGTTAGTAGATCTTGCCTTGCTGATTATTTTTGTGATTTAAAGTGTCTATTTATCTATTATAATTTTCATCATATAAGGCAAAACGCAAAAAAATGGTGAAAATCGTCATTAAAGGGCAATTACTCCAATAAGGAGTCATCGGACGATTTCCTATATATTGTCTAAACTGTAGAACATGTCTTGCTGATCATTTTTGCTTATTTAAGTTTCTATCTATCTATTATCATTTTTAGGATATAAGGCAAAAACGCAAAAATTTGCTAAAAATCGTCATCAAAGGGCAATAACTCTAATAAGGAGTCCACTGACAGTTTCGACCATGCATTCTTATTTGTAGAACTTGTTTTGCTGATCATTTTTGCATTTAAAGTTTCTCCTTATCTATTATAGTTTTCCAGATAATAGGCAAAAATAAAAACAAAATGATAAAATTTGTCATTTTAGGGCAATAACTCCTATAAGAAGTCGTCTGACAGTTTTGACGTCTATGAACAATTGGTAAAGCTCAACATTGTGAACATTTTTGGATTTGTCAGATTTTCCCTATTTGTTTTCAAAATAATAGACAAAACTTGCATTTTACCCCTATGTTCTATTTTTAGCCCTGTCGGCTATCTTGGTTTGCAGGCCGGGTCATCGGACATATTTTTCAAACTAGATACCCCAATGATGATTGTGGCCAAGTTTGGTTAAATTTGGCCTAGAAGTTTCAGAGGAGAAATTTTTGTAAAAGATAACGATGGACGACGACAGACGACGATGGACGCCAAGTGATGAGAAAAGCTCACTTGGCCCTTTGGTCCAGGTGAGCTAAAAATGATTGAGTATCATGATCAGATTCCACAACAAAACATTTCGCTCTCCAATAAAACAAAATGAATGTCTTCCTACTCTGTAATAACACAAAATGAATGTCTTCCTACTCTGCAATTACACAAAATAACATCATTGGCAGATCAAAAACATGAAATCATAAACTGAATTGCTTGTAACCTTTTTATGTGTTGAAACAGGGCAAAATAACATGATTTCCAGCCCAAGGTGTGGTGAAGTTATCTTGCTCTTATCAAAATATCATTTGGCTGATTTTGTTGATATTACATACCTAAACTGCTGACATCTTTATCAAATATGTGATAATAAATGATATTATTGAAAATCTTCAAAGACAGAAAAAAATTCGTAAGGGTTCCACGGAACCCAGTGTCTCAACTACTTTTGCTGTTATCCATGTTTTCAGTGTGATAGGGGAATGCACATAATAGATTTACAGTTAATGAAATAAAACGTTTGAAATGTTTGAAAAAAGTTATGCTCGTAAAAATGAATACAGTATGCAATCAAATCTATAGATTTATAAAGGAGTTGAAACATAAATTTATTGAATGAACAAATGATAAAGAAGATAATTTTTACATTATTTGACGATTTATCCCTTAATTCAGACGACGACGGAATGTAGGATCGCTATGTCAACAAAAATGGGGAAAAAATTATTAAAAACAGGATTTTTTTTTTTACAAAATTTACTTCTCGATACTATCTTATGATTATAAACAAGCTTCTGTCTAAGTTTGGTACAAATCCAGGATAGTTTAAGAAAGTTATCAAAATTTTAAAAACTTTAACCACAGAGTGAATGTAATGTTAACTGGCAGAAAAACTAAGTCCATTTATAAGTAAAATACGGAAAAACAGGATTTTTTTTTTTACAAAATTTACTTCTGGATACTATCTTATGATCATAAACAAGCCTCTGTCCAAGTTTGGTAGAAATCCAGGATAGTTTAAGAAAGTTATTAAAATTTCAAAAAACTTTAACCACAGAGTGAATATTTGTGGACGACGACGCCGACGGAATGTAGGATCGCTATGTCTCGCTTTTTCGACAAAAGTCGAAGGCTCGACAAAAAGCAGGAAATAAATGAATTCCACAATATATTTATAAGCAAAAAAACTATTAAAAAAAAAACTTCGTCTGAAGAGGAGCTGTAAAGCAGAAACATCTAGAAATATCAATGACTTAATAACAAAGGAATAATTTGAATCTGGAATAATTTTGAATTCTGGAAAATTGATAAGAAATGTATGATGTTGTGAAAACTAACCAAACTAAAGAGGGTTAGCCATGCATGGCTCAGTACACTCTTCTTTCACTGATATTTTAGTCTGTATTAACTAACCCCTTAAAGCCATGCATTCATCCTTAATTGAGTTAGTTTTCATCAAACATTTATCAATTTTCCAGAATTAAGTTCCCGGTTTAATGGTTTTGTTGCTTAACATTTCTAAATACAATATAGATTTTATTAACTGAATAGAACAAAACACTGCATAAAATCTCGATAAATCTAAGGTGTTTTCTGCAAAAGAATCTAAAGCTATAAAAGCTTATAAAAGCATTGGATGTACGAGACAAATTGCTCCTGTTTGAACCGCTATTCTATCAGAAGTAGTTTCATAGTAACTTGTAACATTTAAATAATAGAATTTGGTCCAATGCAGTGAAACAATACATGTATGCAATATGTATGCATTCTAATTCAAGTAGTATTTAGCCTTGTGGCTATCTTAATCAATTAACAATTGATTATAAAGTTTGACCAAGAAAATAATTATAAGCATTTTAAATTCACTGACTACTAAATCTAGTTTGAACATGACCTTTGTTTGTCTTGACTACCTTTTTTGTTGCTTGAAAAGTATGTGTTTTCATATTATTTTAATATTAAAAATGGGATAATGTGGCATAAAAGCTATGAGATTAGATAGTTTGATCACATTTTCAACTGCACACACATAAAGCTGAAATGCTGTTCCAAAAGCTAAAAGCTTAAAATGATTTTTACTTGAATTTCCTCCAGGTATTATAGTTACACTTGATCCAACTGAAAAACAGAAATATATTAATTCATCAGGAAAAGGCTAAGCTATTTGCTGCCATATACATAATTAAAGGCATATCTACTCTGTTCTGCATTTGAGCTTTGTTTACCCATTCTTCTTGACTAAATGTGATCAAATATTTGTATATAGTTCTAATGTGTAAATTATCATTGTATCAACTGAAAAAGATGCATTTGGGTTAACTAAATAAAGTCAGATAACAAATAAACATGCAGACAAACTGTAATAATAAATTAATACTTTAAGATATTAAGTTATATAAACTTCGACATGCTTTATTATGTCTAACTTTCAATATATGTTTTCTAATTCAAATTAATATATCAAATAAATAAGAATAAAAAAATATTTTACTGCCTGAATGTCCTGAATAACAAACTACATGATTAATGTTTTGCTTTGCATCCACAGGGATTCTGGTTTGTATAAATATGTGACTGTTCACATGCTGATATTTTAACTATGCATTTTTTTTTTAAATTGAACTGGGAGAGAAAATAACAGGTAAATAATAGTATATTTGTTAGCAGATGTATCGTATTTCCTTTCTGGAAAGTATTTAGAACAATAATAAGTATGTTTCTACATCTTTCTATTATTGCATTTGATGGTCAAAGACCTATTAGAAACATACATATTATGCTTGTAGCAATGTAAAGTAAAATAAAAATAAACTGTTGAAATGTTCATTTAAGACCCATTGAGACAGGTTTCATGATCTATATTTATATATATATATACACAGAATTGAAATAAAACATTGAAAAATTATCAAATTCCATACCGCTTTCTAACAAATGCCTTAAATTCAAATAATGCAGGACTACAGGTTAACAGCAGTAACACAGGACTGATAAACAAAGTAAAAAAGTGCATTTATGTAAATTTAGCTTTTTTTCCCCTGTTGACGAACATTTAATAATGAATTACAAATAAGTGAAATCTAAAATATTGTTCTTTTGACTAGGGGTCTCATTATTTCTGTATGTTTAAATTTCATTTACTTACAAGAAGCTATTTTTAAGTTAAGTACTTGAATCTAAACTTTTTTACCTGCACAACTGAGAAGTAATTTTGTATTCGATTTTCTTAAAGATGTTTGATCCTGATTCCTCTGTTTAAAAATAATAAGGGTTTTCAAAGTCTGTCATAAATTTATAGTATATAAATAAGGGGATTTTAAAAGTAGGAAAAAATGATAGGGCCTTGTAATTGTTTATGAGATATAACCAATTGAAAATTTGGCGGGAAATGATTCTCTCTAGATTTTTCATACATTTAACATTCTGACATTGGCACCTTTTTTCTTTTAAAAACTATGAAAAAATAACAAGGATTTATAAGATTTTTAAAAACGGCTTATTAAACTATATGTAATAAAATTATGAAAAGAAAAGTAGGGTTTAGCAGGCAAAATTTTTATTGGCACTACATGGATAAAATTAGAGGATTCCAAACATCTGACTATAAGTGAAAATCAAGAGTAGCGAACATCCTTAAATGCTCCTTACATTGAATCAAAGTCTAATGCATTTGTCCTTGAAGATTTATTTTATAAAACGTTATTCTAACTGGAACTGAAACTAGCAAATGTTCATACTTTCCCAAATTCACATTACAGACAAATGAAAGGGAAATACCTTTAAATATAGAAAAAAATTTAATCTACATACACATTTTTTTTACTTGTGTAAGTAATTCCCAAAACTCTCATTAATTATTTGTGAGTCATAACCAGCAAATATTTTTTATTTAAAGTTACTGAAAAGTAAATGCAGGATCAGAACTTTGACATCATCAAATTGTTTTTTGTTGTTGGGTGAAGTATATATCATTTTCACACATACATGTTACGTGTATGACTATTTTAAATACGTAACTAGCAGATGTTAAAATTTTAAATGAGTTAATAAGTATTCAGCAGATGGTCAAAATGCAAGGCCAGGTCTGAACTTTAACTGTGTCTATTTGTTATTACATTTTTTTACATAGTAAAAGCTTTTGTAAAAAAAAATAATTCTTTCTCAGTATTTATAGAATTACATTAGTTTTATTTAAAATATTTGATTATGCAACCTTTTTCCTATTATTTTCAGCTCCAGAAAAGGATTGACATTTTTTTTTTATCAAGAGTCATGATGCATTTGAATGAAGCTTGCTGATTCCATATTACAGTCATTAATTATTTTGACATTAGTTGAACATTTTTATTAGATGATACACAAGACTGAAAGCTTAACTATTTCAAGTACATATTTTACTAGTGGAAATAATTTTTATTATCAAAATGTGCATTGCCTCAAGTTGATAGCTACTCAGTCTCAAATTCATAAAATCCAAATGAAGACACAGTAAAAAGATAAATTATGTATTACTTTTAATAAAATAAAATTACAACTCATCTTGAATAACTATTCAGTTTGGTAATTCATCAAGATTTTTTGCCATTTGGTCTGGTGTCATATTGTATTTTGAACCCCCTGAAAATTGAAATACCATAAGGAAAGTTGAACCTCTGATGGAATATTGAACCCCCTGTATTTGCTTTAAATGATTGTAAAATGTCAAATGTACATTAGGTTATGCATTATTACTATATAAAGTAGTTTGAAAATCTGAGGTCTTTAGACAGGTTCAAATACCATGGCTAAGTAAAAGTGTTTTATTCCTACGAAATACTTATCAAAGCATTATTACTATATAAAGTAGTTTGAATAGCTATGACAATTTGAAAATCAGCTCTATAGCATTTCTTTTATCTTATTTTTTTACATAAATTTTCATTTATACACATTTGGATATTTTTGTAAAAAATTTCAAATCAATAATGATCCCCATTTACTTTTTGTACTTAAAATGTATTTTGATGGTAAAAATTGACAAATATAGACAACTTTCCAGTGGAAAATACAATGAATATACAAAAATTGCTTTTCAGAGAGTAAGAGTAATAAATAATTTTAAATAAAAACATACAATCAACTTGATAATATAAAAAAAATAAAAAAGAGCCAACAATTAGGGTACTGTAGGCAAAAGCTACTACTAAAAAGTACCAGACTTCATCAAAATTGATCAAGAGAGATATTTTTTTTATTCAAAATTTTTAAATAAAAGAACAGAGTTCCAATGTCCCCCGCGTTGCACATATTTAATCTATCCAAGGTACAAGGGCAATAAGTAAAAAAAAAAATCTTTTTTTTTGTTCTTTAAAACAATTTATAAATATCTTAATAGAAATGAATGCTTCAGAGCAAATGCAATAGGATTTCCATTATAATTAATTTTTCAAAGGAGCATAACTGGTTACAAGTATTTGATCAGCACTGATTTTTAAATTTGTCTGAGACATTGATGATATAAATTTCATAAAAATCTGGCAAGAATTGTACACATGAGAGTGCTAACAATGCATTTTCCATAAAATCAATATTTCCAAGGGGCATAACTCTTTTAAAAATAATCGATTGGCACTGATTTTCAAACTCGTCAAAGACATTGTTGATATAAACCTATTATAGAAATTTCATAAAAATCTTGCAAGAATTGTACACATTAGAGAGCTCTTAAGACAATTTTCCATAAAATTAATATTTCCAAGGGCATAACTCTTTTAAAAATAATTGATCGGCACTGATTTTCTAACATGTCCGAGACAACGCTCATATAAACCTATGATATAAGTTTCATAAAATTCTGGCAAGAATTGAACACATGAGAACACTTATATTGCAATTTTCCATATAATCAATATTTCCAAGGGGAATAACTCTTTTAAAAATAATTGATCAGCACTGATTTTCAAACTTGTCAAAGACATTGCTGATATAAACCTATGATATAAGTTTCATAAAAATCTGGCAAGAATTGTACACATGAGAGCGCTAACGATGCAATTTCCCATATAATTAATGTTTCCAAGGGGCATAACACTTTTAAAAATAATTGATTGGCACTAATTTTCGAACTTGTCCAAGACATTGCTAATATAAACTAATTTTCGAACTTGTCCAAGACATTGCTAATATAAACCTATGATATAAGTTTCATAAAAATCTGGCAAGAATTGTACACATGAGAGCCCTAACGATGCAATTTTCGATATAATTAATGTTTCCAAGGGCATAACACTTTTAAAAATAATTGATTGCCACTGATTTTCAAACATGTCCAAGACATTGCTGATACAAACCTATGATATAAGTTTCATAAAAATCTGGCAAGAATTGTACAAGTGAGAGCGCTAACAGACTGGACGGATGGACGGATCCGGTATTTCTATGTCCACCGCAACGCTTTGCACTGGGGACAAAAAATTCTAAAATGGGATGCGAGACTTCTGCCTCCAAATGGATTCTCTTATTTTTTCAAGGGAATATTTTTGACATCTCCTCACACATTTTGGAATCTCTGCCTTCTTAATAAAAAAATTTCCAGTCTTTAAAACATCTTGTCACCCAGTCACCACTGATTAAAAGACAATTATCATGATTATATAATTAACTTACTAGGAAGGCAGTTTGGTATGCTTGTAACGGCTGGAGTCCAAGTACCATTAGATGAACATGTGTATTTATCTGAGGGTTGATATTCAAATGTAAACCCTGGTTGACAAGTGACAGTACATTCTTTTTTTGTTGTTCCTTGGTGGCATTGGATACTGCCACCCTGAGGTGATGATGGATCTGCACATAAAGCTGCAGCTGCAAAAATAATTTGAATCTCATTTCAGATAATAAGAAATAAATCTGATACATATTTGTTTGTAGTCAGTTTGACTGTATAACCTCAAACCTTATGGCATAAATTTTTTTTTGCAATCAAAGTATTCTTATAAGAGAGGAAAAAGATACCAAAGGGGCATTCAAACTCATAAGTCGAAAATAAACTGACAATGCCATGGCAAAAAAAGAAAAAGACCAAAAGACAAACAACAGTATACAAAACACAACATAAAGACTGAGCAACACAAACCCCACCAAAAACAGGGGGGTGATCTCAGGTCAGGTCCTCCGGAAGGGTAAGCAGATCCTGCTCCACATGTGGCAAATGCTTTACAAGATTTCTGGATATATTCATTTCTCAAAAAATTTAATAAAATCCAAATTCCGATGGTATAATACATTTCTAGAATGAAGATAAGTAAAGATTTTGTATTGCTGTTCTTCTCCTCATATTTAAGAAAAAAAATAAACATAAAACAAGGGCCTCTAAATCCCTTCTGTTTGGTTCTGTCACTGAACATACTTGTGCGATTTTGTTTTAAATCAAACTTTTTCTACAATAGATTATTATATAATGTATTATGTGAGTCTTAGATTGAGATGAATATTAATAGGAGCTAGCTTTCAAATAATATTCATTGGGGACAACAAAAAGATCACTGTAAAGATGACCACAAATAATGGACATTTTATTTACCTTGTTCACATTTGGCACCTTTCCAACCTGGTGTACAAGCACATGTATCTGGCATAACACATGTCCCACGGTGTTGACATGGAGGATCACAAATGGCTGAAATTAGAATTATACAAATACTTCAGAATGTTCTATTTCCTAACATGGTTAACAACTTATCTAGAGTAGCAGTGAACCAATTAAGGTGTATATTGGCTTACTTGTGTACTAGGGCTGCTGCTATAATGTCACAACTTCAGTGTTGTAATTTAAATTCAGGAACTGTTGAATTTAGGTCTATTTTGAAAGCATCTCTTTAAATTATAATCCAACACCAATATATATACACAAAATGCTTACAATTGTCACTAGTTAATTTATGTATATAAAATTTCTGAAATTTTAGTAAGTTGATCATGACTAGCATGACTAGCAGACAGTTTTATTTGTAAAAGAATCTGCACTTCAATGCTATTCTGATTTTGACAAACCTGTCCAATTAAAGAGAGGCGACAGATACCAAAGGGACATTCAAACTCACAAGTCGAAAATAAACTGACAACGCCATGGCTAAAAAAGAAAAAGATCAAGAGACAAACAATAGTACACAAAACACAACATAGAAAATAATCTCAGGTGATCTCAGGTGCTCCAAAAGGGTAAGCAGATTCTGCTTCACATGTGGCACTCGTTGTGTTGCTCATGTTAGTACAAACCCGGTAATAAGTCTAATTCGGTAGGTCACATTCAAGGAAAAGGGGACGGGATTGTAGTTACAACATTTGGAACATATCCCTCATCATCTGTGAAACAGATATTCCGTAATGGTCAGCCAACGTGTGATGGCGTCCATAAATTTACGAAGGGATGATTTTAACTTCACCACTTGGAACTCTTGGTTTAATAGCTTCCTTGTGAGCAGCAACCCTCTATCAAGGAAATCATGATAGGAAATACAAGCCCTGGAATATCGTATCAACTGGGAGATATATACTCCGTATGCAGGCGCTGCTGGAATGTTGCTACATAGAAATGGAAAGTTCACAATTGGGAAGCTGAAATCATCTTTTTTGTCGTAAAGTTTTGTTTTCCACTGACCCTCACTGTCAATTTCTAGATGTAAGTCAAGATATGAGGCAGACTTAACTGTATCTGTTGTATCCTTTATCTCAAGTTCGATGGGATGGATGCGTTCAACATAGTCACCAAATTTTGAATTATTTAATGAGAGAACATCATCTATATAGCGGAAGGAAAGTTAAAGGATACTGCTAACTTCTTTTTTTTCTTCCCAAGAAGTTCCTGTATGAAGTCCGCCTCATATGAATAAAGGAACAAGTCGGCAAGAAGAGGGGCACAGTTGGTTCTCAAACTGAGATGTACATCTATTGATAGAAATAATGCAACTTTATAGAAAACATCATTGATCTATCACAAGTAGTTCCTATCAAACTAACTTAAGCAGAAAACTTTAACATAGAAAATTGCTACTTAATTCAAAGTCACTGGACTAGGGGGCAGGGCCTTGAAATAGTCATCAAACTGATCATATGTAATGATAATAATGCAACTTTATAGAAAATATCATTGATCTATCACAAGTAGTTCCTATCAAACTGATTTAAGCAGAAAACTTAACAATTATGGATGCTTTTGTCACAGCCTTCCGAAAGGCAACACCTATATCTCGCCTTCTGCGACTTTCGTCCCAGTCGAGACAAATAAACTATGTTTTTTTCAAAAAATATTGTGGGGTCATTTCTGGTTGGATTTTAATCAACTTGGTACCAATAGAAGCAGAATTGTCACATAATTATTTTTTTATTTGGTTGCATTTTTGTTTTGGAGTGTTTTCATTTTCTGATGATATAAATACAAGTATTATTTTTGGTTCAGAAATTTGCTATATATTTCAACAAATTAAATTGTAAAGAAATATTATACAAGTTATGATCATCAGGAGAAAACAAAAACAACTGAAGACAAAACTATGACCAAATAGACAAATATACTTCAGACAATTCTGCTTCTTTCAACACCAGCAACTCTTTTCACAAAAATTCTTACGATTAGAATTGATCGTAACTTATACTGAAATTTGTAATACTTACAAGTATTTTTACTCTTAAGTTTTTTTGTGAAAGGAGCCCCTGGTTTGTAAAAATCCAACCATTCTAATATGCCTTCAAAATCATGATTTTTTTTTAAATGTGTTATTATCTCCAGATCATATGTTTTTGTACGTCCTATGAATTCGTACTATGCATGCTTTTTCAATGGAAATTGTGACGTCACAATGCATCCTTAATGGCACAAAAACCCATGAGACGAGGATATATGAAATATATCTATATAGCAAAAAAATAAAGGTGACGAAAACTTTTGGCCATTTACTGTGTAAACAAGGATTTGTATAGTCTTACTATACAAATCCTTGCTGTAAATACATTTTCCAAATTAATAAGAAATGATAACTAGAGAGAACCAAAAAGATCAGTATCCTGGTCTTACAAGGGCTATAATCTCAGAACAATACACTTACAGTCTTACAAACCTTTGTAATAATCTCAAAAAAATTTACGGGAACTTGTGTGCTTTTAAGTAATGGCGGACAATTTTGCATTCAAGTGTAAATACGTTGAAAAGATCACTTTGTTTACTCGTTGTTTTTAGGTATAAATTATTATGTTTTTATAATTATACTTAGTTATGCTATACTGTACTTTTAACGTTTGATGATGGGATAGACAGTGGGGGGACCCAGGAGTAAGGGGACGGGAACCGGGAGTAAGGGGGACGGGTGGGCGGGAACATGAAGAATTCGAGGAAACAGGGAAACCGATTCAGTACTGTATTAAACAAAAATCTTACACGATAAAAGGTGTTGTTATTCTTTATGACCATCTTATTGCGTTTGGAGATTATTTGCAGAAGATGGTCCAAGGACACAGTTATCGTCCTTTGGTTTTCGTTGTTACGAATATAGTCCCTAGTGTGAACAGTGTATAACTTGCATTTTTTTTTTATTCACTTTCCCAATTTATTTCTTGATATTTTATGCATGAAATATTAAGGGGATGAAATTACATGTTAAAAAAATTTGGGTGCTGAATCTTTATGTTAAGTAGTGATTTGGTCCAGTTAAAAAAGGTCAAAAATTAGAATGTCTGAAGCTGTCAAACTGAATTTTAGCCCCCCTTAACACAGAATTGTCAATATTTTGAGTTAGAGCTGGTAGAAGTTTCTATAATTTTGATATTATTTGTATCAATAGTAGTACACTTCACTGTAAAAATCTTTTTGAGATAGAGCAGGTGCGATTTTTTTAATTTGAATTTATTGTCTAAAAGAAATGCACTACGAAATAACTGTGTTCTCGGGCCTAAGAGATGAATTCCGTAAATGTAGATTCTGTACTTTGGCAACTTTCCTGAATGGTTTGCTGGTTTCAATTTGTCAAACTCAATAAAAGTAAAGGATTTACATCTTTGTTTGACAGAAATTCTGTTAAAATGTCCCATTTTGGCATTATACGGCTAAAATAAGCATTTTAAAACAGTTTCCATTTTATGCCTAAGAGCCATGCTGACTTTCTATCTGACAGCTTTTTATGTTCCTGATATTTGTGTTTCTATGCTTAAATCAAATTTAATTAACCATTTGTGAACTCGGAATCTAGAGAAAAGTAGATTATCACAGAAAAAATGTGCAGAATATTTGTATTTATGTCCCTGGTTAAACGGCCTGTTTAATGTATGTGAAATGTGAAAAGTCCATCACAAATATTTCACTAAATCTGTAAAAAAAAACACTTTACAATGATCAGTACACCCTATTCATTTCATATGCTACCATGATTTTCTTCTTTAGGATAGTAAGTGGTTCAAATATATGCCAAATGAGACTAAAACTACATGCAAGTTTTCCATTGAAAAGTGAAAAACTGGTCATCAGACCATACTGTCTGCAAAAAAAAGTTGAATTCAAGAGTCCTTTTGCAATTAGACTTCTTGTATCATGACATCTTAGCATAGAAATGAGCAAAAAGTAACAAATTTCAATTTCTTATAGCCTCTGTGTGCATTTTTATATGTAAATATGGGCTACGGCCTAAATCGACTCTAAATAATTCTCAGTCTTACATGGCCTAAGACCATTTTATACTTATGTGGTATGCTTTTTGTAACTTTTCTTTACATTTAAAGTACATTTAATATATATGGAAGAATAATGTATGGTTAAAAAACTTCAAAAACTTCAAATTGGTTGAAAAAAATGCATGTTTATGTAAGGCTTCCCTTAATTCGAAAATCTCTATTTTCAGGCACAGGCTCATATAAATTTGACTTTTGAATAACTGTAATAAATCTGATAAATCAAATGAGTGTTCCGTTGCTTTTAATACTTATTATATTAAATTTAAGAGTATTTAAAAAGCAAATTTTTGCAATATTTAAATTTTTTAGGCCAAAATCTTGACAGTTGAAAATATTTGATTTAAACGTCAAAAATAAACCACCAAATTTCAATATTAAAATGGCCCTAGTTTCTATAATATATATCCTATGGCCATGAAACTTGGCCAACTATCTTATAATTGCCTAGGCTTAGGTCCTGCAAAGTTTTATTAAAATTGGTCAAGTCTTTCTATCCTATTAGGTCCAAGGACACAGTTATCGTCCTTTGGTTTATAGTCCCTAGTGTGAACAGTGTATAACTTGCATTTTTTTTTTGATACACTTTCCCAATTTATTTCTTGATATTTTATGCATGAAATATTAAGGGGATGAAATTACATGTTAAAAAAATTTGGGTGCTGAATCTTTATGTTAAGTAGTGATTTGGTCCAGTTAAAAAAGGTCAAAAATTAGAATGTCTGAAGCTGTCAAACTGAATTTTAGCCCCCCTTAACACAGAATTGTCAATATTTTGAGTTAGAGCTGGTAGAAGTTTCTATAATTTTGATATTATTTGTATCAATAGTAGTACACTTCACTGTAAAAATCTTTTTGAGATAGAGCAGGTGCGATTTTTTTAATTTGAATTTATTGTCTAAAAGAAATGCACTACGAAATAACTGTGTTCTCGGGCCTAAGAGATGAATTCCGTAAATGTAG